AATGTTTTTGCTCAATGTTTTTCTCTGATCCATCTTAATGACCAGTCTTGCTATCCACACCTGGATCTTCCTGGAAAAGCGTGGCTAACTTCTCAGACCCCGCTTTTATCATCTGCGTGCAAAGTCAGTCACGTCATTAATGTCATTATGACACTGCGTCTGGTACAATATTGATTGTCTTTTTTGTGTGTCTTTTTTCCCCCAGTCCCCGCATTTGACAACTTGTAACCTTTGAGTATCCAGCCACTCCTCATTAGGAGACATTAGCCTTGTGTGTTTCTAGATGCCTGGCCATGGTGCACATAATAAGATGTGCAGTGTACGGTAAATGCGATTATTACCACCAAAAAAAAGTTTGCAATTAGTCTAAGTTTTACCATCTGCCCCATGTGTTGTTGTACATGTGTTTTAGACTGGTGGTGAGAGCCCGGAAAAAATATTGTTAAAAAAAATCCAAAAGAAATCAAGGATCATATTTTATGTCGACAAAACATGTTTCATTCTTAACCCTAACCTAAGTTCCAACTCCATCAAAATCCATCCCCTATTTTGGGGATTTTGGTAGGCAAACCATGTGTACCAAGTCCATCAAAATCCACCTAGTGGTAGTCTTGTGGTGGATTTCAGCGGATTTGATCCTAAAGCATTATGTGAAGCAGGGTCAGTGAACGATTTTGACAGACTTGGTCCAGTCCGTTTTGTAAAAGACACTAGGGAGTTAGGGTTAATGATTATTGTGACAAAAGTCATTCACTGATGTTCAAACACATTTTTGGCGATCTTTGTCCAGGTTGTTTTGATTTTATCCAGTGGAAATTGTAAAAGCCAATTAAATAAAAACACTTGTCAGTTACACCTTTGCCTCAAATTTAAATTGAAAAAACATGTTTTTTTTAAAATAAAGGGCCCGCACTAGATACCATATTTTTTGCAAAGTTTTCCCTTAGGCCAAAAAAAAAAGTCTCCAGTTTCTGGTATGCGCGCGCGTTGCTGTAGCCATGCGTGTCGGCAAAATGAAAACGTTTTTTTTTCAATGAAAGATGATGTCTCAAAACCGCCAAACTCACTGGTTTGACTGGAATCCTGCTGCTGCACAATTTTAACATGTTTTTAGATTGGGTTATGGTCGAGAATAAGCTTTATGTGGCCTCTCTGGACTCCCATATATTTGCACTAAGTTTAGTCGGGCACCATTTGCAGTCATCAGCCGACATTTGAAGCAAAAAATCAGGTTAAAAAAAAAAAAAAAAGCCGCGTCGCCGCACCACTTTTTGGGCAAGCTCCATACCAGAAACCGGAGACTTTTTTTTGTTTTGGCCTTACCATCACAATGTAGGACTTATGTGCAAACGTCTCACCCTGATGTACCGGTACATGTACATTACATTTTGTAATGTACAGTATACCGGTTCATGTACATCACATGTATAAAAAAATTCTTAAAAATTTGAAAGAAATGTCAGAATAATGTTATATTCATGTATTTGCCAGGATATTACTGTTGTTGTTTCTGGCAAGGTTTCCAAATAGTAGACCCACAGCTTACCAATTTTGTCCTAATGTCATTTCTGTGGCGGTTTTTTTTATTTTGGAAAAACATCCCTAGGCAGTTTTCCAATTCTCTTTGACAATTGAATGTAGCGTCTGGATGGACTTGACATTAGTATAAAAGAGAAAGGAGATGTCCTTTGACTATTGTCCTGGATTGCCATTTTATTCAAATTGAAACCAAATTATCCTTTAGACAAATTCAATATATTGCGTGGACTCATCCATTGGTGATATCTATCCTCGGGCCTTTGATGTTTTACACAAGCCTAGGCAGCATAAACATCGGGAGTGTTCCTTTGCCTCCCACAGTTTATCAAAATCAAAATTATTGGCTAAATTACTTAGGAAGAACTCACTTTGGGATGGTGTATTGTCACTGAAAGTCTTGGTTTTTTTAAACTTAGCGGTGTGGCGTTCGACCCACAATGGTGGTGAAAATACGGAGACAATGGGCAGCCAGGAATAATTGGGGGGTGAAAATCACAGCCGGCGCGAGTCTTTGTGATTGATGGGAACGCCATCGGCACTCATTGGTTTACTCAAACGGTTATTATTAGGGGACTCGGTGATAAAGACTGCGCTGGATCGATGTTGATGCAATAAAGACATCGGAGAGAACAAGACATGACAACAAAAAGGACAAGAATGGGGGGGGGGGGAAGGGACTGATGATTTAATGAGGGAGACTTGTCTGTGTTAATGTCTGCCCACTGAAGCCAGGGTTATAATGCAAGAAGAAAGGAGAGTATAACGTCATTTATCACCGATGTGATAAAGTCGCTATGGCAGCGGCACCTTTGAAATCCAGTACTTAAAGAGTCTGCTTAAAGATGGCACTAGAGAAATAGAAGAAGAAAAAAAGGAGCATTTATGGTGCAAGTATTGAAAGAAAGTAATAATAACCTAATGACTCTCCTGTGACAGAAATCGACTGAAAATCTTTTTTCGTTGAATGTACTTTTCTTCACACTGGAGAGGAAGTGCCCAAGGCAATGCAAAATACATTACATGTACATGATGTATACCACAGCAGGGTGTCATGGTTGCAAAAGATTCCTTCCTGCCCTGGCTTCAAAAATTAAAAAAATAGAGGGGGGGGGTGCTTAAATTGGTGGTTTATCGCAGTATGGTTGATCCTTGCTGCCGTGAATGCATTTAGGGTTTTTGAAGAGTTTGTGAACTTGACCTGTAGCAAGTCAGTTGGCCTTAAACTGAGTATCTGCACATTTTTGTCGTGAATACAAGGCATTTACCCTAACCTCCCCAGCTCCATCAAAATCCACCCCACCCCCCAATTTTGGTGGATTTGGGGGGCTTGGTCCTGCTGGCCTGGTTTGACTAAATATTGATGGAGTATGATGGACTTGGGCCTGGAAGCAAAGCATGCATTGGAAGCAGTGTGATTGATGGATTTTGGTGGACTTGGTCCAGTACTTATCAAAAGACAGTAGGGAGTTAGGGTTGATATTTTGATTCAGGACAGCAAAGCAAACTGAAACACACTTTTTGTTAACGTCAAATCATACTTTCTTGTCTGAAAGATGGTGGCAAGTTTGCAACACATGTATATGAAACAACACCACAATACAGTTTGTGCAGTGTTCACATCGATAACACCATACATGTGTACCTGTAGGCCTTCCAGGAGGCAATTTTACGAAGCTCTATGATTAAGTGTGTCTCAAATCAAGATGGATTGCACATTGCACATGTGCACCTTACCCTGGCTGCTATAAATGAGATCAGAAACTATCAGACTACATTGTACCGGTAACAATCATGGTAAAAACATCGCCATTTTCTGGTACCATTCCTTTGACTTTGCGTTTGATTTTAAGGATCTACTGCCACAACTAATATTCTTTGCATGACCTTTTAATATTGCACATTGCAATGATAGAATAACAGGTGTCGGTACAAAAAATGCATTTTAACTCTTGAAGATACATGAAGAACTGATGTGCACACTTGTAAAAAGTTCTTCATGAGCATGTACATTGTACAAATACATGTTATGTACAGAATAAAAAATATATTGCAGAACACTTTGGAAGATCAGACGTTCACGTGCTTCAAAGGCTTGGTTTGTTTCTGTATTCAACGCACACATCATCGTGATTTGTGAGGCATAAATCTAGAATAACTAAGCATAAAAATCAATTACTGGTCTTTACAACGTGGCATCTGAATTGCAAATGCCTACTGACGCTACTGTGTTTTTCCCCCAACTTCGTGTGGGTATCAATAGCCATCGCTTCGTCCCTATCTGCCTAGTTCGTGATTACGAGCCATTTTGCCAAATTAATGGGTGGGTTTGACTTGGTCTTTGTTTCGGAGTTGAGGAGACATAACCAAGGTCATGGTAGATCAATTCATTTTGGGGTTCGTCCCTCCGAACGGACCCGATTGCTGGGGATTATGTTGACACGCTTGATTTGCTGTAATTGTTTGTGATGCTCTGAGACGAATCACAATGGCTCGATTGTAAATTTGCCTGGACCTGTTTGGGGCAGTTCTGCAGTGACCAACGTCAAAGTTGGTTGTGACGTGCATAAGATGAAATTTGTTAAAAAATACTCTTTGTTTTCCTCCCAAACAAAAAAATAGAAAGTTTTGCTCCAGAAGGTTGGGTCTTTCTTTTAGTACTGGCTGAGCTTGGGAGTCGGTGCTTGGTAATTGCTCCGTGTGCAGAGAGTGAACAGACCTGATTGTGCCGAGGCTGAAATCTGTCAATCACACAGAGATAATGATTACACATCCCTATCACTGTCCAGATACCCTCGTCATCATTATTGGATGAGACAGACCATATGCTCCTTGCATCCCTTTCGGAGTCCTCCCATTGATATGCAAATCAGGGCCTCTCCACTGACACGTACCGTTATTTTTATTGGCGGCCATAACATGCAAATGAGCTCCCTTCTCGCTCCGACCATTCTCGTCGATGCCTCTCCTTTTGTCATTCGGTAATTAACCATCGCCATGACGATACTAGGATGACTCCTTTTTTTTGTAAGGGGGGGGGGGGGGGGCAAGCTGGCTGGGCGCACCAGTTTCTTGCCAGCCAAGTTGTGGCGGCATTGATAAGGGGTGACGGAAGCTGACTGTGATGGTAGACCGTGTTAAACCAGACAGCGGAACGGCGGGAAACAAGTTGGTGCATTTGTCTGGCTTCCTTGAGTCTTGTTTTTCCTGTGGTAGTTGATACATGTACGTAAGGCGTAATGTATGATGCACGCTTAGCTATAGGTGAGTCGTATGGGCCGTTGATTGACTGTTGACATGCCAATTATTTTTCTCGCTGTAGTGATGAAAGACAGATGTTTCAGGAGTTTAAATGCTTGATGAGCTTGGGGCTAAAAAAAATAATAGTTTTTATCAAGATTTATTTTGAACTTTGTTAGTTGTTTTTTGACGACGTGTGTTTTTTTTTCCCTTCTTTCTGATAGTTCCTCTCAACGTGAAAATCAAGGCAGAGCCCAAGAGTCCCAGTTGTCACAAGCCATGCGCTCACATGAAGTTCCCCTTTCCTCCTTCCTCTGCGGCCTCCTCCAACGCCACCTCCTTGTCATCTTCCTCCCACTTCGACTTCAGCAGCCGCAAGTTCGAGTTCGGCGAGCAGCTGGTGGTGGACGTGCCCCCTATGAAACTGGAGGGCTTGGCTAGTCCTCCTATCAACACCACCAACTCTGCTGCTACCAACACCGATGAACGTGGCAGTGCAGGCAACCCACGGATCACCACACCCATGCCTGCAGCGTCGTCTTCTTCCCTGCCTAGTCTGGACCTCAACTTCAACGTGGTCAAGCAGGAGATGGCTCACTCCTCACCGAGATCCTCCTGCGCTCTTTCGGCTTGTACTCCCTTCAAGGAACCGGCGTTTCCTTGCGGTCGCGAGCACCAAGGATACAGCATAGAAAAGAGGTAATCAATATCATTTGTAAGGTTTGAAACCCTCAAAATTGGTTTTTGTTTTCAGGTGTTTCAGTTGTTTTTGATTGTTACTATCTTTTGGCACAATATAAAATATGGACTCAAACAATACCAGTTTTCTTCTGCCGTTTTGGGGTATAACAATTTCAATTTTGTTTCTTTAATCCAAATATCGCTTAAGGTAGCCTAAACTGCAGAACTCTAAACTAGAATTGGTAGGCTTTCCTGTTTAAAAGATATATTCAAAGTCAAACAGCAAATAAAATACAGTACATGCACTTATAAGAACGGACATGACATGTAATTATACTTTTTGTTTACCATTCATATGATGTTTGACGACCCAGTAAATTTTAAGTCCATTTCAAAGTGTCCTTGCTGAAGTTTTAAACCTTTAAACGGTGCTAGAAAATTTCTCTAAACATTTACCAATGTAAATGTTGATTCCTATCGTTCATTATTTATTTTTTTAAAGTTTAATATGAACATGAATAAAACTGCTTCCAACTGCTTACTGACTGGACTGACCTGAAATAATACAAATGCAAAAAAAATCCTGCTAGGATCGAAATGTTAGGCCCTCAAACTTTTTGGATTTTTTTAGTTTATCATGTTCTCGTTTCTTCTGTCCAACCCCCTCCACAAGGTTTCATCGCCAGACATCAGAGCCCTGCTTCGTGGCCTTTGCCAGCGAGCAGCGCTCTCCCTTCCAGCGTCAGAACTCAGAGCCTACGTTTCTTCCTTTCAAGCATCACGGGCTGGTCAACGGTCAGTTTGACCACGGCTACAGTGGCTTCCAGGTCAAGCAGGAACCAAGGGACTTCTACGAAGCTGGTAGGTGGTTTGCACTGTCCAATTGTTTTTGGGGTTTTTTTTTTTTGGCCAACAGTTTTTAGTGCTGTCATCACACCAGGCAATTTACATGTATAGTGGGCAAATGGCATGAACTTGCGTTAGCATAAAACCAGGTGTGTGAAATCTCAGCTTTAAAGCTGATTTCACTTTTTTTTGTTTTGGATATCAGTGTTTTTCCCTCACTTGCTGTGTACAAAAAATATAGGAGATTTCCAAAGTTAAGCTTTTTTACACCTTTTTTTCAGATGTTTTCAGCTCTTCTTATCAGTGGTCACTCACACCCCTGTAAAACTTTCCAAGCATTTATGTAGAAAATAATGGCTTTAGCAAAGACAGGCTAGTAGCCTACCGGTAAATACCATGCAGTTCATACATATAACTGAATTTTCAATTACTCATAAATTGAATTTTCAAATATTTTATCGTCAACCGAATCTGATCAGCATATTTTGATTCAAATATTCGAAAAATGTGAACGGTCTCGGGGAGATGATGAAAAATGTCCGCAGCTGTTTTAATTGCAGGGTTTGACTGTTTGTCAAATGCCATGCTATTGTTGGAAACCAATTTCATGCATGATTTGAGAGCATCGATGGGAAACATTTGCTAAAATTTCTTTGTTAAAATCGGTTAAATTTTAGCCATTCTGCTTCCTGTTTCTTACAGCATTTCAATAAACTCTTTGTCGAATTGTTAGACAAGCACAGGCACACACAAATCTTGATTGGAGGCCAGTTTAGGCTGGTGCATCTTTAAATTGATTAGTACACTTCAAAACTTGAATGTTCGATCAAGTTAAAGTGAGGAATAAGCGAAAACAAAATTATTTGAAAATGCAAACCTTTTTATACCGTATTGCAGTGCAAATGAAGTTTCGTAAAGTTTTTTGCGTGTCTGACTCTCATGGATAGCTGTTTTTTTCTGGCAGACAAGCTCTAAGAAATTCCGTCATGCAGTGTTAAAATAATTTACAAGAAACCAGCTGTGCCAGCAAGTAGTAGACCGTATGCGTAGTGGCTATCTAAGAGAGCATCGTTTGTTATTTTAAAGCTATAGTCCATCATTTGCAGCCATCCGAAAAAGTAACTGGAGTATTATTGTTGAAAAAACATACTTGGTTGAAAGATAGTACGTGGACTAAACTCCCTGTGAAATTAATCTTTCTGGCAAGCTATCATTTTGAAGTAATCAACGAAAGAAGGCCTTTCCAACGGTGCGTCTTCAGACGCACCGCAGGAAAATTTAAATTAGTAGTTCGTTTTGTTATTCGGCGCAGCGCCTGCAGTTGCTATAAATAATTTGTCGGATCAGTGCGCTACGTCGCGTATAGCTGCAATTCAAAACAATTCAAAACATGATTCAGCAACTTTTGATTTGAAATTGAGATCCTAGAATGTTGCTTTTCTCGGAATATACAGCTGAAGCTGACCTGAAACTTCATCAGGTTAGTTGTTCAGTATCCTTCATTAGATTTTGAACACTTTTGTTGCTTCAAACGAACAAAATGCACAAATTGCAAATGATGGACTATATTTTTAATTCAGTAACAATGAATGCACAAAATGTCCACTCACATGTCCCAGCAAAACAAAGGTATTGGCCTCTAAGATGGCTGCTTCGCCTAAGGTCTATTGAAAATGTTCTTTTCTTCCTGTTTTTTTTTGTAAATTCGGTGTTACATGTATCTTAGACTTCTTTGCAATGGTCGTATGGATCATTTCAGAAAAATCATGTCTCGTCAAAGAGCTTCATAGCTCTATGGTGTTAACTGCACTTTCTTGAGCGTCACCTGTCTCGTATTAAAATGCACTTAAACGTGAAATCTGTAGCCTGCTTTCCCTTTTGAAAATTCACCACAAATGACATTCAAAAATTTCTTTGTCATTTTCTGAGAAATTACTAAGTAATTTGTAAAGTTGGGTACGGGTACCCGATCCCATATCCTAGAACTGGTTCCTGACATCAACGGTCAGGTACTCGGGTACCCCGTTCCGATGCAAAATCCTAATTTACATTTACAATCTTTTTTGAAGTTTTGGTATTTTAAATTGGGCTTCAAATCACATCTGTTTCCTTTTGAATAAGATGAAAGAGGACGTCCTCAATTCTAGTTTGATCACGTCTGATTTCTCATACTTACTTCATCTGGTACAGAATGTTGCAGTGGGCAGTGGTTGAGAACATCTCCAGGAATATATTAAGCATTGACAGAGACCAGTTAATTTGTCTCGATTACCAATATTCATGACCAATATACTGTTCTTAATCCCCTTTATTTTGAAATGATGCGTTAAACGTCCCTTGAATTTATAGTAGGGTCTTTCTTTATGGGTTTGTTCGCTCTATACTGTTTAACATGTATTTTGCCCAACAGAAGTACCGGTAAGCTTCAAGTCATAAACATACTTTTCAAGAAATTATAATACACCACTGTACATTGTTTTGCAGACAGATTTACAAGGCATGTCATTTTACAAACATGCAGGTTGCCCCCAAACACCAACATAAATGATACATGTACATGTGTACATTTGCTTGTTCAATCTTTGGACATGTATTTAGTTGGCCCATCTCGTTCCCATGGATACGATCTTGCTGCGCCATATTTCCCCCAAACACCAACATAAATGTTACATGTACATGTGTACATTTGCTTGTTCAATCTTTAGACATGTATTTAGTTATATAAATGGCCCATCTCGTTCCCATGGATACGATCTTGCTGCGCCGTATTTGTTCCCACCATGCCTTGTGCAATCTTAACCCCTAGAATTGTGTAATGTATTTTCTCCCACTATTTGGGAGATTTGTAGGTTTGCAGTCGATACGTTTACACCCGGTGCAGTGCTTTCAATTTTGAAGGGTTTTTTGTTGTTGTAGAATCAATCCTTTCAAAGATGAGATTTCGTTGTCTTGTTATACGGTAGAGCAAGGATTTATGTTAAATGTGCGTGGCCGGTACCTCTGTCGTCCCTTTTACAACTCAAGATACAGATTTTTTGGGGCGAAAAACAACGCTTCCAGACTCCATATCGTATAGGCATTGCTTAGTCTTGAAAAAAAGTTCGTACGTGACGTGACGTGCAGGAGATAACGTAAGCACATTTCTAGGGTGTGCAGTCTTCAAAATACGCGCGCAGTACGCTCTGAATAGTCAATCAGCATGGTTTACGTATTGAACACGGCCAGGGGTTAGTGAAGGAACGCGCACGCAACCCATGGAGTCCAGGCTACATAAATGGCCTGACCTGTGTGTCTTGCCTGGACACAGGGTACTGGATACAAGTCATTAATCCATCTACATCAATAACAAGAGATTGTTGAGATTGTGTTACAGGCGTGTTGATTCAAGGATTTGCAAATCAATCAGTTTATGGTGGATTAGTTACATGTAGTACGGTATCATTATTGGATTTTTGAGTCATTTATCTCATCTTACATTTACGAAGGTTCGGGTCATCCCTTTGCATACATGTACATTTGTACATACATGTACATTTTACACGTGTACCGGTACATATACTAAGCATTGCACAACAAAATGTTACTTAACTCGTGTTACAACAGAGTTATGTGCAAAGAAATATCAGAAATACCTTAAAAAGCACAGTTTCAAGAATGGTATCTTGTTTCAAAATGGTTGTTTTAAGGTGTGGTTTAAAGCAATGACAAAAATTATAATAACTTTGAAAATGTTTACAAATACAATTTTTGAAAACAGCGAGTAAATGATTTTGAGGACCTCAGAATAAGATTATTGGTATGAGCTTCACAAAAAAGAAGTTACATGTACCTGTACCCCTTCCCTGAAGAAAAAAAAGATAAGACCCTCTCCCAAAAAACTCCCCGGTTACAATGGCCACTGATTCATCTTTAAAATTCTAGGGCATCGAACTCCCAACCCATGTGGAGGACTGTCTAAAAGAAGAATAATTTTTGGCCAATGAGTCTTGGACTAGTTGCGATGCAGTTTGCAAGATCATGCAGGAAATTGTTCCACAAGTGACAACGAGGAAGACCCACTTTGAGAAATCTTGGCAGGAGAAGTTTGAGAGGGGCAGATGCACTCTCAACTTGCGCCGGCCAACCGAACAAACTTTTGGACAAACCCCAACCAAGAAAGATGGATTAGAATAATGAAATGTAGGAAGTATGTACATAGCACCCAGGCAAGGGTGATTTATACTGGGAAGATGACTCGCAATTGCTATACAATTACATGGAGCAAGTCGGTGCAGCCACTTAGCCGCAATGGCATCAACTATATTAATTACGCTGGCCAAACACTACAAGCATGGACGGGCTGCGAAGCCCAGAGGTCATTAATTAAAAGTTGGCCGCGTATGGAGAAAGTCGAGTAAAATAAAAAAGCCCCTCTATCAATTTGCTGTGGCTAGAAGAGGGAATTGGAGGGAGAAAAAAACAAAGAAGAGAGTTTAACCTGAAAGAAAGAAAAAAGGGGAGAGAGAAAGAAGTGCTGGCTGTATTGCAAATTACAGGCATTAATCAGTGGTGGTGTGGCGTGGAGTTTGCACTGATCTTTGCTGGGCGATTTGGCTAATGGATGATGTACATGGCGAATACATTCTCAGTTAATATTCATTCATCTTGTTGGTACATGTGCATAACTACCTGCATGAGCATCATGTATAGGCGTAGTGTGCAGATTTACGTTAGACTACCGGTACATGTAGTTGTCTTCTCTTGTGTCTAGATGTTGTCCTGGGTATCCTGTTAAGATGTCTTGGGTAATCCTGCCAACTTTGTAAACCATCCTGTCAAAGAAATTTTCATTTAACCCCCCCCCCAAAAAAACCCCCACTAATATCAATTTTTAGAAGTCAACAAATTTGAATGAACATCCTTTGTTGAACTATATTTACATACATACATGTACAAGTCTAGCCGCCATCTCTTATGTAAACAAGTTGTGTTCAAACGCAATTAACGTTTTCTCTAAGAGAAGAAGACTCCCGCCTGTTTTCGCTGTTAACGGCTCCTTTTTCGCTTTGTACTTAATCATCATTAGCCGATTGGCGGTATTAATGGCACTGACACATGGCTCTGGGCCTGTGGCTAGCTATCCCCCCCCCCCCTCCATCCTTGCCCCACTATCATTGACTCATTGAATGGCCACCCCAGCGCTCGGTCCACTGAGGCCCCTACGAGCTTAATGACGGCAAGGGAGGGTTTAATTTGCGGATTGCCTCGTGTTGCCTCTGCTCTTGAACTTTGAGATGGTTGCTCTCATTGCTTGGACGCTGTATCTTTGCATATATATATATTTTTTTTGAAGGGGGGGGGTATTTGTAATCAACTGGTTGAGGATGTGTTAACCATCTGTAATGCAAACATAAAAATCAGGCAGGTTTTTTGTTCTTCTCGGGGGATTTCTCAATTGGACTGGTTTTGATGGAAGATGATATTGTGATGATGTGACTTGCGGTAGATGCAAATCATAGTAATAAATTCGCCAGGAGAATGTGAGTGACCAGCGGCACGTACGTCTGTAACTAAACTGCTGCCGAGTGTGAATAAAAAAAAAAAAATAATAACAGCCACCGTACACAAGTCTGAAGAGAGTTTGTCAACTATATGTACTCGCTCTACATGCCATCTTATACATGCATTCTCCACCTTGTTTCTAATTCAGAAGAAAGACAGTTTCTCAAGATGTTCCATTTCTTGAAGAAAAAAAATTGCATAGGATTGTTACGTCTTCTTGCAAATTGAGCATTTGCTTTAAACGTGTGCTTTAAACACCGTTATCTTGGTTTAATCTCAAAATCACATTGTATATGCACTTACAGGTAGCATACATACATTTCATGAATACATTTAATATATTTCACATCCGAGAGGAAAAAAAAATCAGGTTTCTATTGAAGCGAATCAATTCACCGGGACACTGGAGTTGATTTGTACTCCTGAGTTTGATCGTCTACTGTGAGTCAGCCACAAAAAACAAAAATTGTCCATAGTAAATAATCTGCCACAATCTAACCAAAAATTGGGAGAAGTCTGACCAAATAGGCCCAGGTACAAGTGACGCATAATTTAGGCTTGTTTTTTTTGTCTAATCACCAGCCGTTATATTGCCATCATTTGAAATGAGGCTGTCACTATGTATACATGTACAATTACTCCCCCCCCCCCCCCCCCCCCCCCAGGATCAGAAGAGGGAGAAAAAAATCAAAACAGGAAGCAACTGACAATAGAACGCATGCCCCCCAAATAGGAACCATGCTTCACTGCACTTCACCCACTGGGTTGAGATACACACTGTTGAGATTGCAACCATTGTTCACACACGTTCCTCTTTTGTAATGATGAAACGATTTTAATGATCATGTGAAAAGATCTCAAACAGTTACTTTTTTCACAGGAGTCTGGACTTTAAAGTGTGTTTATTATTATTTTTTTAGTAAGAGGCGTGACTGTTTTTCAAAACAACCCTGCTTTGGGGGGAAAAAACAGAAGTCATGGAGTATGGAAGCTAATTTCCCCACGCTGTTTGTGTCTGTGTCTCTGCCAGTGCTTTGATGTCATAAGTGTATGATCTGAATTTCAAATGATAATGGATGTTAGTTTGTTCTAGTTTCGGTGTTGACTGGCGTCTGTTGACCGATAGTCTGTGGAACAAAATAAGATGTCACAAGTAATAAGTGAAGCACGGTTTGCCAAACTGCAGTGAGTTTGGTAAACAAGCTTGAGTCACAAACTACGGATGACAGACAGCAAAGCGGTTTGTATAATGGCGTATAAACCGTAATGACGTCTTTACAGTAATCAGACTTTCTGGAAGTTAGATTTTTGAAGGTGACTTTTGAGAAATGAAGTGACATTGTTACATGTTCATGTACATGTACATGTAGCGCAATTACTAACAATCTTCAGCACTAATGTATCCTCCCACAAAAAAAAATCTTGTGTTTTTTTTTTTTTGGTTGGACAAAACTGCCTAAAAGTAAGGTCCCTTTTATCATTGTTAATTTGTAAGTTTATTCATTTTTTGGCAATATTTTGGACTATTTTCAGAGGTACCAAATTCCTGTTGCATGGGGTTCCAGCGAGGGGAGATGTTCAACCAACAAGGAAATGCTGATGGTAAGTGTTGATGTTTGCTCTACTTGACTTTTTTTTGATCTGTCAGTTCCACTGTGTTGGACGTACATTTTTGGACAAACCAACAGTGTGCATAATAAAAGTTAAATCAAAAAGTGGTTTTCAATTAGTTAGCCAGTTACTACAAACAATGATTTAAAAAAGAAATTATTCATCCAACTTTTTTTGCTGTATGGAATCAGCTCGAAACACCATGGTGACGGATGTACTCAAAAAATTGATAGTTTAAAAAAAAATTCAGTTAAACGTAACAGCTGAAGTGTTGAATAGTGTCAGAAATAAACTATATTTCCATAAAATGCAGATAATAAGCTTCAAAATTATTGACATACATGTTTCATTTGTGGCATTTGGATTTTTCAATTGAATTATTCTCATTCCATTGTACAAACTAAAAAAAAACCTGCTTCGGTGTTATTTTTCATGTTGTCCATTGTTCCACAGGTGATTCGACTAGTGTATTGTACCAGTACACATGTGTGTGCAAAGTTACTTTATATGGTCGTGTTTGTTTCAAATGTCACATTTTCTGTTATTTTGGCATCTGTGCCTGATTGGGCAGTTGACTAAAAATGTACCTAGTTTTTTATAACAAAATTTTAAAAATCTGTTATTCTAATGGCCATGACTAAGTACTGTCATTATACATGTACATGATGGGATAGCGGGCTAAAAATAGTGTCCATGTATAGTACCGGATAGTTACAAACAAAGACTAAAAATATCAAAAATCCTAGATTACTCAAAACAGAACATACAGTGTTATCTGTAATTACTCAAAGGTATTTTTACACAGCTACTTAATGCCAATTTTCAAAACAGGTGTATTACTGTGATTACACTATTTCTTTGAGACTTCTTCTGTGCCACTTACAATTATCAATTTGCCGTGCCGTGTCCGGTCTGCGCCTACTCTAACCCCACCCCTAGGGGGGCCTCGGTGTTTTGTTGGGCTTTCATAAATTTAACACCCAGGGTTTGTTGAACAAAGCAAGATAGACTCGGTCCTTGTGCGGGGCATGTGCCAGTGATTTGACTGACATATTCGATGTCATTTCGTCTGAAAATCCTGAGTTATTTATAAAGAGAGGGGCTTTGCCTGCCAGGTAACTTGGTCATTAAAGGGGTATTAATGAAACACGATCCCCCAAATCTCTCAAATTGGAAAGCTACTTTTGAGGGGCCCAGAGGATCAAGATTTGTAATTTTTTTTTTCCGGTTGGGTTTTTTTGCCCCCAAATTTTGGCTTGAGGATATTCATATTTTAAAGTATTATGTGGAGTTTAGTGACCTGTGTTACGACACTTTCCTTTCATTGGTTGGGATTCAGGAAAGTCATATGTGCAGTGTAGGTGCATTAAAAACCATGTGCATTTCAACTATACTAGGATCTTGAGAGCAAACTGACAGTAATTTTGAAATTGAAACAAAAACCAGGTGTTTTTTTTGCAGGTGCCATGTTGTTGGCAATGAGTAGCCTCTCACAATAAACTTTGTTTAATACAGAAATCTGTATTGATTCTCAAGAAAAGTTTTTTGTGTAAATTGATAAGGGAGTCTTGGCGATCATAAATACTATTTCAAGGTTTAGATTTCAGTTTGAAAAAAAAAGAAGATGTGAATGAAAATTCAAAAGTTAAGATTTATTGGATAACTAGCATGGTTATAAACACAGACGAAGCAAAAAAAAATCAAATTTTTGAAATTTATGAGGTTGAAAATTCAGTCTGAGGTTTGCAGTGTTGTGTGTAGCCCAACACAAAATAAAGCAATAGTTTCCATGCACCATTCTCCTAATCTTTGTGGTCCTCGTTGTTAATTTGTTATATGTAGGATGTATTCCCGAGCAAGCAGCCAGACACTTCTTTGATGATGCCAGCGTTCCTGAGAAGATTCCCGAAGGTAAATTTGGGTTTTGAAAAAAAGTGCAGTGCACATTTTTATTCAAACAAATGGATATCTACCCAAAGATTAACAGACTTGATTTTTCAAAGAATTTGGAAATGCCAACTTTGTAGTGTCAAGTTTTTGTAATTACAATTCCAAAGTAGGATAAAATATGGATTTTGTACTCTCTGTGTTTTCATTTAGTATATCCCAAATATTCTGACCAAAATCCTCGTCAGTGTTTCTGCAGGAAATGATAAAACAGATGGGCCAAATTGGCCACCAAAAGAAATAAGGGGGAATAATCGGTCTTACGAAAAAAGAAAAAAAAGAAGAGAATAGCTGTACCCGGTGAATGATGGGAACAATGAAGGGTTTCTTACAGAGGATAAGAAGAGCACAACTAAAAGCGATTTCACTGCTTTTCAATCAGTTAACCGTCAGCGCTGGAGGATTGCTAATTCATCACGGCTACAAAACCCCTCTCGTTGGCAGCGCGGCGTGATTACTTAGCGGACAATATGCTAGATGCATTAAATGGGGAATGGCGATAGGGAGAAAAACAGAAGGAGAGCAAAAAATTCAAGTAAAGGAGGCCTTGATGATGGTAATACCCTCTGATACCCTTTGATCACGGGGTAGTGGCGGTGGCGCTAAGAGTCGGTTGCGACAGGGGCGTGCCCGGGGCTGAGAAAGTACAACAATGGCAGAACCTGACGAAAACGGCCGAGAGAAAAATGGGCTGTGATGCCAGTCATTCATCAAGAAAACGGGCCTGATTAGACCCGCCTGTCTAGGTTCTTATCAAAAGCAATCGGCCACGCCAGATACAACAACTTGTTTGCTTTGTGTCCTAATCTCGGGCTAATGGGACTTGACAGGCGTTATTATGAACCGAGACCAGAGGGGGGTGGGGGATCTGTCATGATTGGGTTGGATCTTTTCAGCTTACAAGTACATGTAGGCCTGCTGTGAAGGAACAGGAAAGACCTTTAAAGTAAGGCCTCGTTATTACTGGATGCGTAGCCTTTTTGGTTTCAAAACAATAGCGTTGGGTGCCAAACTGGCTTACTCTTAACACAAGAGGGCGCTCTACATACAAGGGTCATTTTTAAACATTTTGGGTTTTTTTTTTTCAAAACAAGGTTACCACTTCAAACAAATAGGAGGATTTGTAAAGGATGTCTTAATGTGAACTATCCAGAGACTCGTTAGTTGACGTGTTTCTAAGTATCTTCCCTTCAAAACTGACTTTTTAAAAAAGTCCAACAACTCATCTAAAGAAAAGCATCTAGAGTGATGGTATGTAGATACAACCATAAAATGTCACCGCGTTCACTGATTATGTACATGTATGCATATAGACTCCGTGCACAAGTACTCCTCCAATGGTGACAGGGAGATAGGATCGACACTCGGAACACTGTCATACATTGTATACTCGGTGCCCATGCATTTGTACACATTGAGATGAAGACAAACAGTGCATACATATCGCACCATATGCGCATGTACTCACAATGTCTTGCAAGGGGCCACACAAGTGTCAAATGTTTCTTCACAACTCGTGTGGCTGAATACATGTAGGTCATCTGCAGCTGATAGATTAATGAATGGTAAGCCATGTCCCAATTACTTGGCTACGGCTGCAGTGGCTGCAGCTGGTACCATAGACTCGTGTATAACTTCCAAGTCGCAGCCATGTAATTCGGACACGGCCGTGGTCTTAGGGCTTACTCCAGGGGGCAATTATTGGAGCAGCTAAGCACAAACAAATAATTGCTTAGCAAAAATAGGTTACCAGCCAAGTGTCATGTAATGTTAATTGCCTGTCACTGGTCCTCAGCTGACTTGTGTTAACCTGGTTAAAGTGCCTAAATGTGCTAAGCAACATTGTGTTGTTGCAGGTGAGACCAAGACTGAGACGTTCCGTGAGGGGCCGCCATACCAGCGCCGCGGCTCCCTTCAACTCTGGCAGTTTCTGGTCACCCTTCTGGAGGACCCGGCTAACGGCGGCTTCATAGCCTGGACTGGACGCGGACTGGAATTCAAGCTGATTGAGCCCGAAGAGGTAGCATCTTCAGACCTTGATTATTTTTTGTCGAGACCACCCCTCTCCCCTCCAGGCTAATGGACTGTGCTAAATGTAGCCATAAGCCCCGCCCACCTTTGGTTTGTCTTAATGTCTCACGATGCTTGTGGCCGAGTTTGACCGAGTTACTTGTGTCACCTGACCAACAGTCGCAATCTAATTGGTTCATGTTGGATATTAATTTTTATTGCTGCTCGACAATGTTGATGTGTTTTGCCAGTGACTGCAGCATAAAACTGAAAGTCATACTTTTAGTTTCTAAAGCTTTCCAAAACAAAAGGAGGGCAAAGAAAACCACCATCTTTTAGTGGTTGCCTGGTTTGTAATCAAATATGAAAAGCAAGTGGTTATTAACATTACAGGGTTAATAATTAAACAACTATTAGAATTGATAAAAAAATCAAGTTAGTTCACCCCACTTAAGGTCCTTGTCTGCTTTGGTTTTACTAAGTTCTACTGGTCAGAATTTTTTAGTTGTCTTTAAAAGGCGTTGCTTTTACTTTTTTCCAAACTGCCAACAGGTCGCTAGACGATGGGGAATCCAGAAGAACCGACCAGCCATGAACTACGACAAACTCTCCCGCTCCCTGCGCTACTACTACGAGAAGGGCATCATGCAGAAGGTTGCCGGCGAGCGCTACGTCTACAAGTTTGTCTGCGACCCCGAGGCTCTGTTCATGATGGCGTTCCCTGACGGCCTGCGCACTCCCCTGACCACCGCGATGCCCCCGGCCAACGCCTCAGACCGCAGTGTACCGGCCAGCCAGCCGGTTAAGATCAAGGAGGAACCGGCCTACCAGATGCAGGAACGCCAGGATATGTACGTCCCAGACATGCTTCCGGCCTGCCCTCCACTCCAACACCACTTGGAGGGCTCCACTTATTAAAACAAAACAAAAAAATCAGAGTTTGTAACAGCTACAGAATCCTGAAATGGACGACATTTGTGAATGTGTGTGTCTGTGTTTGCTTCTTCAGTACCAACCTCAGAGTTTGTCACCGACGCATTTTGTATCTGTAGGTTTTGTTGTAAATTGCGTCTTTATGTTGTGCATTCACAGTATCCTGTAGGATTAAAGGAACAGTTTGATGTTGCTTTTTTGGGGGCAAATAGGACAGGACTTGAAATTTCTTTAACGCCAAAGCTATAAAGGAATGGGTTGTATTTTGGTTGGGATTTTATTAAGTGGGATTTTTGTTCAGGATGAAAAGTATTTTCTTTAAAATGCACGTGTAAGGGGTTGAAAGAATTGTCAGTAAACTATTCTGAAGACACATTAGCATTTGTAACTCAACTGTGTTTCTGTACTATTTTTTTTTGGGGGGGGGGTTAAAAGTTCTTCTTTTTTTCTTAGCAGTGACACTTTGAAGATCTCTCGTGATTTTTTTAAATCTTACAAAATTAAGTACATAATATTTTGTACACGTTTATACTTTGGATTACGCTGTTGGCTGTTTTGTAGTGGAAAGTGGGAAAGTCAAAATGGGGACAATAATTTAGGGCTTTGTGGATTAGAAGCGCAAATTCTTACCAAAATAAGAAAGTTTCGCAGGACTTGAGTGAATTCAACTTGATGGAAAAATGCTCACAAGAAAATTGTGTTGGATGGAAGGTGATTGGCCATTTAACTCCTTATATCGGCCAATCAGGTTGGATGGCTCAGCTGGCAAGAATGACTGACCATTGTCATTGGTCAATTTAGCTGTTTCATTCAACATTTTAGTTAGAGATTTTTTTATGTCATAAACCTTTTTATTGAATTGTTTATTTACAAGTAAAAGTACTATTAAAAAAAGTGTGACACTGATCACTCTGAAAGAGTTGCTTGTTTGGTTTGAAACGGAGAAAAAAAAAAGAGCTAGCTTAAATAATTCAGGATAAGAATTCAGGGGATTTTTTAACTTCACAATTTGAGGAGAATAACACTGTAAAAATTAAGATTGAGAAAAGGTTTGTGTGGTTTAGTTATTTTTCCTCTAATCAAAGAAAAGGGCAGATTAGATTTTAACATAGTACTTGTAGTTTATCCAGGTGGCAGGGCACCGAGTACTTCTTCACTGAATGAGTGTGGAATGGGCAGGGTGGCCCTGGACTGTGTATAAATAAAAATCATGTTTTTGTACAGAATCATTTAGAGATTCTTTTTTTTTAAATTCAAAATAGGTGATTTGCTTTGGTTAGTATTACACTCGGCTACATTTACATACCTGTAGAACGGGAAGTATACATACTGTATCTAAGAAACAAAGGTGTTTTTTCACGCTCATTGTAAAGTTAAAGCCCCTTCTTTCTTCAATATATTTTTGTCACTGAAATTTTAAAAAAATACAAAGAATGTAGACTATAAAGAGAAAAATAAACAACTAATTTTTTTATTATGAAAAGAACAAAAAAAGATATGAAAGGTTAAAAAAAATCAGAGACACTTAGTTGGAAGGTAAACGTGTGTTATTAACTTGTATAATATGATATTAAAGATGATATTTTCAAGTACAATGGACGATAGTGTACATGTTGTACGATTATGATCAGCAAGGTATGTACGTTAACCCATGTTCTTTGGTTTTAAATTTAATTAATTGTAATGCCAAGTACGCCAGCTTTCCTTGTACTGTGTGTTGTGCATGTCTCTCTGTACAAAGGCAGTTTACCAGCTATGCTGGTGTGTTGAGACAGTGTTTGAAATTTTGACTGGTTTCCCTGCAAACTAAATACCCCCAAAATAGGTCTTGTCTGAATGAAAATGAGCACTTTACAGTGTTTTATTAATCCAGCTTACTTCAATCCTTAGTTACAAGTAAATGTACTAGAATCTTCCATGCGGCAAAACAAAATGTAACTTCTGACGGCTTTGTGGCATTTCAAATTTAAAGAAAAAGAAAAAACACCGTCTGTTTTGTGAAAGAGGCTGCATCTGTCACAAGCAGAGCAGTCGGCAAACTTCCATCAGCCATCTTTGTCATGTTCCTAGAAGGCTTAATAGGGAAGCATAATGTAATCACATTCCATCTAAGGCACCAATCTATATAAACCCAACGACCTTGGTAAGGCTGTTTAAGAGTCTGACCCTATATTACAAAAGTCTGTGAAATGTTGCCACGGTAAGCCTCACACATTGACATTGTCTACCTTAAGCAGCTAAGTATCGTACAGAAGAATCGTTGTACCTTCTGTGTGGTGAAAAACTGTCCATATTTATCGGTGAAAAAAAGTTTTGTCCAGCTGTAATGGTGTCATATGATAAATTATACGTGTTTGTGAATCAGTTCGTGGTGTGAAATAGTGGCAAGTGTTTGCAATTATCCCCACGCGTCAAGAAAACTAATTGTATCTTAAGTATTACATTTACCCAAATCTCCCAGAGGATTGATAATAATTATTAAAACGAATTAATTCTCCACAGTGGTATTTAAGTCGTTGCAAACGTATGACAAATATGTAACTTTTCAGATAGATTTTTTAAAAAGATTTTTTAAAAGATATTTCAAATGTTTTCTTCTTTTTTTTGGTAAGGATGATGGAGAAATCAGTACAAATCATGTTTTAAAAAGTGTGGTCCAAAATGTAAGAAGTTCTTTCTCTTGCATTTAGAAACATGGTTCCATTGTGAATAACCTAAAGTTAGAAAAAGCATTGTGTTTCCCCACTCGCGTAAAATAAGTGTTTCCCAGAATATATTTTGTGTTTTTAACCAAAAAAAGTTAAACAGTTTGTTTTAAAATACATGCGGATTTCAAGTGTTGTAAAAAGTGGAGACAAAAATGCTTCAAAGATAATGTTCACCATTTGTCATTTTTCAACATTAAATCAACAGACATTGAATGCTTGGGGAAAATACTTACTTCACACCCTACATTCTCTGAGTTGATTGATATCCACAATTAGGTTCTGTGATATTTTGATGAGTAGACCAATGCTGAGCCGGTCACTTCTACTTTCTAAAGGGCCGATGGCTTGATTTTTTTCCAGTGTTGTTTTTAACCGATTTAGGATCAAAACATATTAACTAAAGAGTGTAAGGGATAATAGTTGGGCCCACTGTGACAGAGCTACGAGGTAGAAAATACACGTTGAGCAAAACAGTTATTAGCTGAGAAAAGGCAAAGGCATTGAGCAAATACTTTTGCTCCATCTTTTGTTTTTCATGACAACAGTTTACCTGCGAATCTTAGCACAAATTTGACCAGATTTGGCTCCAGTGGCAACTGTCTTCCAACTCGGAAAATAACTTCAAACTAATGTACTTGTTAAAGCTCAACAAACCCCAATGTTCCTTCATCACGAATGTACAAGATGTTACCTCTTTCATAATTATTTCTCCATCACGTTGTTGCTTTAATCTCGTCTCTCTGTTCTGGATTGTATGTACTACTCGCTCTTCAGTTTACTCAGATTTAAGTTGTTTCAAAATAAAAGATACCTTTTTTTGTACATATCCAAAATGGAGAACTGCATTTTGTTGGCGTGATTCTATCCCATGTCTGTTGTGTTACTCCACCTTCTCAGGACTAGTATATAGAAATGATGTTTCATATCCTAATTATTGCCGATTTTTTTTTTACCTCTTTTCACGGATAATCATTCTGGACTAGTAGGAATTATTTTTAAAATCCTGATTTTTGTCCATAACAGCACTGTTCTCTGATTTTGTTTGGATTAGTACAATTTGTGGATGGATAATAGTGAGGCTGTAATTACATGCATTGCGAACTTGGGTTATTTTTAGTCCGAGTAACTAGGACTCCACGGATCGCTTTTTTAACATTTGGACATGGTCGACCATGTCCAAATGTTAAAAAAGCGATCCGTAGAGTCCTAGTTACTCGGACTAGGTTATTTTCATGGGACCTATTTATCATAAACACGAAATCCATCACCACCAAAAAGTTACATGGCGAAGGAAGCTATGGTACGTTTTATGAAACAAACATTCATACAAGTAAAACAATTCGTTAAATGTCCCTTACGGTATCTCTAGTCATGTCCGAAAATAATGCCATCACTGGACCGAAAAAAGATCCTACTGTACATTAAAAAAAAAAATCCGCTTTAATCAGCATAAATGAGGGCGCTATGCATCATTTCCAGTCGACCGTTTTACGGCTCGAGCTGTTTCTACTCGAAGCCATTTCCTCTTTCTACATACAAATGAACGGGTTGCGTTACCACCCGAAAACTTAAGAGGAAATTCCACGTTTGGGAGCCTTCTATAAAAAAAAATGCATATTACTCAAATCTACTTGGCGTGGGAGAAGAGAAATTGAGGACACGCATATTCCCCCAAGGAATGAGCGATATTAGTTTTGTGTCAAATTTAGGTTTGCGCTGTTTGTATGTGACATGGATGAGTTCCATGTTAAAAAACTGTTTGCTAAGGCCCCCCAAAAAAGGGTCTCCGGTTTCTGGTATGGAGCTTGCCCAAAAAGTGGTGCGGCGACGCGGCTTTTTTTTTTTTTTTACCTGATTTTTTTGCTTCAAATGTCGGCTGATGACTGCAAATGGTGCCCGACTAAACTTAGTGCAAATATATGGGAGTCCAGAGAGGCCACATAAAGCTTATTCTCGACCATTACCCAATCTAAAAACACGTTAAAATTGTGCAGAAGCAGAATTCCAGTCAAACCAGTGAGTTTGGCGGTTTTGAGACATCACCTTTCATTGAAAAAAAAACTTTTTCATTTTGCCGACGCGCATGGCTACGGCGACGCGCGCGCATACCAGAAACCGGAGACTCTTTTTTTTTGGCCTAATGAATATAGTGTAAATTTATCCTTAACTAGAAGCCCCCCCCCCGGCCCCCTCTCCCCCGGGCAGGGGATGGGGGCGGGGGCGCCTACGCTTATATCTGAAGTATTCTTTTCGTCAAGTAGTAAACGTCGCTGAACTGCCTATCGACAAAGACTGTTGCATTAGGCGCTGAACCGGACAACTTTGTGTAAGTTTCCCGATAGAAGTCCTGCCAGTGACTGCATGGCTACGACCACACCCTCAGGGCTCCCATCCTCTTCCATTTTCTTCCACTGGCGTCGAAGAAAAGTACTTGAAAGAGGAATAATTACTACACCCAAATCAACAAAAATCGGAAAATATATCCCCGCCCAATTAGTTGAGTGCCCATGGAGGTTTTCCCATGGTTTGCCCTTTTCGCCCATTCAACATTTGCCTTCCACATTTTTACAAAAAATAAAGGAGTGGTAAATTTCCATTTGCGAGTCACCAACCAGGTCAGCAGCAGGTTACCGTGCATATGCTTCTATTTTTAGACATTACATCGCGCCTGGTACCCTTGCTGATTTTATTTCGAGACGTTAGTCAACCAGCGTAAATTTACGTCATATTTTGTGTACACAATAATGCATCTGATACACTGCTAAGCAGATGAACGACGAGTATTACGAATAGTGTTTTACTAGTGAGACTGAGAGTGAGAGAATAACTTGCTAAATTTCGAAGCCATCATGCCGTTTTCAAAGAGCAAAAAGGGTAAGAATGGATTAATGTTGAACTCAGTCATGTTGGTCATTAAGCAAGCTCCCCTGCCTGAAGTAGGACAAATGGTTAGTTGGGTGATTACCGCCTATTTTTAATACCGGTAATTACCGTTTTCACGAAGAGCCACGCCATGACGTAGGCTATGAGTATGACATGTCAAAAATTTAACCATTTTTTTCGGTTTTAAGTTTTTTCAATATTTTGCATTAAAACAATGTACTTAAGCAAAAGTTACATTAATGTTGCAAGGGGCAGAAATTTTGATAAATACATTTTGTGTTTTCATGAAGAGCCACATCATGTCATAGGCTTAGCTTGAGTGACTCCAGCTGACATGCTCATATTCATTCACATGTAGCGCTGGAGGAAGGCCTGTGCGTTTCCATGTGGTAGCAAGAGACCCTAAAAAAATGGCCTCTCCCAAAAATTGTTCATGTTCACCTCTAATATCCCACCCCAGAGTTCACCCACATACCTCATAATTTCAGCAGTCATTTACGAAGCCTAATGATCGATTTGAAACAAGACCAACAAAAAAAAAGTGAAAAATCTTGACGATTTCGGTGGCTTGTCCGTAAAAATACGCCTGTTCCAACGGCTGTATTCCATTTTGTTTTGCTAATTATATTAATGTATGCATCACGTGATGATGACATCAAAAAATCGGCGCGCGCGATGTATGTGGGTACCACACCGCTTTCAGGCGCCGCAAGTGAGTTCAATTTTCGTCTGGTGCGTTGTCAGGGAAAGCAAGACAACGAGAATGCTCTCTACGGCAACGCACCAGACGAAAATTGAACTCACTTGCGGCGCCTGAAAGCGGTGTGGTACCCAAATACATCGTGCGCGCCGATTTTTTTTTTATGTCATCACGTGATGCATACATTAATATAATTAGCAAAACAAAATGGAAGACAGCCGTTGGAACAGGCGTATTTTTACGGACAAGCCACCGAAATCGTCAAGATTTTTCACTTTTTTTTTGTTGGTCTTGTTTCAAATCGATCATTAGGCTTCGTAAATGACTGCTGAAATTATGAGGTATGTGGGTGAACTCTGGGGTGGGATATTAGAGGTGAAAATGAACAATTTTTGGGAGAGGCCATTTTTTTAGGGTCTCTTGCTACCACATGGAAACGCACAGGCCTTCCTCCAGCGCTACATGTGAATGAATATGAGCATGTCAGCTGGAGTCACTCAAGCTATCATAGGCTTACATTTTGGCCCTTTGAATGCATACAAAACCCATTGCTCGGAAATACGTAAAAGTAGGTCAAATGAGATTTCCGTTTTCACGAAGAGCCACATATCGTTGCTACATTTTCAGCGTACTCACGCGCGCCTATGGAAATACACGTTGAACAGAAAGGGCCAATATGTCGGAAACCTGAATTTGCATGATTTGCGTTTTCACGAAGAGCCACATATCTTTACTAATTTATTTTCAACAATTAACTGCTGTATTAAGTCTTATCACCGGGTTCATGTAAAAATTCAGCTCTCGTAGAATCGTGTGATGGTTTCCTTGCTGCACTAAGTTGTTGCAAAGTGGTATTTCTTGCAGTTTTAAAATATGAGAAACTTCTTTTGCGATTATCTCGAAAACAATTTTCTTCAAAATCAACATAATATATACTATAGTGTGTGGCTGTTCGTGAAAACAGTGACGAATTTGTAGTCTGAAAATTTGGGACTCTCAATAGCCTACTGACTGTGTATATGAGAGTCCTAGCCCAGGCTGGACTCCGTTGTGTACATGCAACGGAGTCCAGGGTATGAATCTCTCCTGCCATAGCGAAAAAAATTATAACACATTTTTTTTTCATATTTTTACCTGACGGAGGAAGCTGAAATTTAGCTTACATATTCCTTGTGTCCAGAATTGTGCCTGTGCTAAAATTGCCTGATTTAGATTTGCACGTTTCAGAGCGCTCCCGAGCCCTGTCTGGGTGATTTGTGTAGTTCACTCAGTTAGGGCCCCAAGTAATTTTTAGTCCGAGTAACTAGGACTCTACGAATTGCCTTTTTTTTTTTTTTGAATTTGGACATGGTCGGGCGATATGTACTAGTTAACTATTTCGACATCACATATGGGGACTAAATAGTAAATATTATATTTGTAGTATTTTGTTATAAAATTCTTCAACAAACAAAATGACATGTGAAGTTCTTTGCTATAAATTGTTCCTTCTAATCAATCTGCAGTATGTACATGGCATGTGTGGTATGGCACAAAGAGTTGGGTGTATCCCCCTCTTTCATCGATCATCTCCTTCTGCTGTTGTTATATTTATACTTTGTTCTTTTGCTTTACCTGTGTTAGAGGAGAAGAAAGAGAAGAAAGCTTATCCAACGCAGGCAACGGCCCCAGCCTACCCTACCCAGTCCCCACCCCAAGCACAGGGTTACCCACCCCAAGCACAGGGCTACCCACCCCAAGGGCCTCCACCACCATACACGGCTAATCCTCAGGTAAGATGTGTCTTGATATAGGTGCCCCCCCCCCCCCCTTCCCCTGCACCCCTTACTTATATTTCATGTCCAAAAACTCTGTAAAGATGTGGTATGTTGTGCAGGGATATGGCACTCTGGAACACTAATACTAGTAATAGAAGATGTGTGATACATAAGGGTTATATCTGTGTTACATGCATCGCAGGACTAACACCTTGAGTCGTTCATTTTCAAGTTTTTTTCTGAAACACTGTGCTATGCCCGCACAAGGCAGTATGGTACGGTGCTAAGGTTTGGTAAGAACATTACAATAAATTAGTCTCTTCCTGAAGAGCGGATATAATGCATGCCAAAGTCATCCACCATCTTCATGCTATTTCACTCATCCTGCTCGTCCTTTTCCTTCTAGGCTCCACCCCCACAGGGAGCTGCCGCTGCATACTACCCGCCCCAAGGTCAAGGCATGGTCTACGCCCAGCCAGCGCCAGGGCAATCCACTGTGGTCATGCACGGGGGCTTTGAGGCAGGTGCCCGATTTTCAGGCGGTAACCCACCCTCGATACCGGTGAGTAACACAAGAAAATGTTTGTCAAATTTCAGACTGGTGTGTTAAAGTGGCAATGAACCAAGTTACTCTGAAGATCGGAAGGGCACTTCTACCGGTATGTGAGAAGCTTGATATTTGAAACGAGAGTGACTGCATCAAAAGATTGACTCGTGACATCTCTAGGGTCCAGTCAATTTGAAATGTAAAACAGAAAGTTTACCTTTCGAAAACCAAGCTAACCGTACCTCCCCTTTTTCTGACCCACATGCACAGCCCCCTCCCCCAGGCGTTGCTCCTAATGCAGCTCAGATGGCTGCGGCTTCTGGTCAGAACGTCGTCATCAGCCAACAACAGAGCAGTTGGATTTCTGGCGGTGGTGAAGGCGGATACAGTGTATTCTAAAAAGTGGGCGTCGGTGGCATTTTCATCTGCTAGTGAGTCATTGTCCGAAAAAAAAAATAACGTTTACAAGTAAAAAACAAAGATGCCTCTCATACTGTAAGAGTAGATATGGTCGCACATTAAACCATTGAACGAAAATCTGCAAAGTACTTTATTTTTCAGGATCAAGAAGACAACAATATAATAAATATACATTGAGCAGGTATCATTAAAACTATTGGTAAACTATATTTTGATGTATGTAAGTCTGTAGAAATGTCTGACATACACCGTGATTGGGCTCTAGTCACACTGTGATCAAAATGTCGATTATGAAACCTAGTGGTACTGGCTCCCTGCTATTGTAATTTCATATGTCTTTTGATAACCAGTGATGCAACCGATTCTACCGGTAGTACAAAGATTGGTAACTCAAGGTTGGATCCAAAAAGTAGTCGTTAGACCATTATCCAATCACCAACTAGTCAGGGAACTAGACGAGGTTTCGGTGCAAGTCAGTCCAGTTAGTACTAACTATAGTTCTTGAGTAAACTTTCTCATGTATGCAGGATGCAGAATAAGTAAAGACAGTACCTGTAACTGACCTTTTGTCTCATGATCATCTTTTGTCAGACACTGAAGTCTGTGTCAAAAGTAATTTTTTTCTTACTCAAGAAGGAACTCTCGCTTTGTTTGTTTGGTGTTTTTTTTTTTTTGTAGTTTAGCTGGTTTATTGTGGCTTTTTGCACATTTTTCTTAGATTTTCAATTTTTGGAGTAAGGAACATGAAAATAAGATGAACGTGAAAGATTGGTGTTCTAATGTTGAGAAACGGCACTGCACTCGCATTTGTATTGCCCGAAGGAAAAAAACAAATTGTCATCTTGTACTCGATGTTTGTATACGTCTGTTTGAATTGGAGTGTAGCTTAAAAAGATGTAAAATACATTTGGCAAATTCCACGATTTTGCTCTGTTTTTTGCTCAACACTGTTGGCATCAACATGAAAACTAACACAAAAATGTGCACACCAGAACATGGCGACAAACAAACAAATTGCTCAAATGCTGTGTTGAACCTCATAGCATGAATTATTATTGTTTAGAATCGCGTTTGGCATACAAGAGACACAGTTTTCAAGACGGCATGATCACTGCGTTTAAATTGTTACATCACATCAATGGAGTACCGAAGTGTGACGTCATTTAGAACCAGAAAGTGTAATGCAAACGAATGGAGTACGCGCGCGTGTTGGTTCATGGCATTTTGTGTGCGTGACGTATTCACTTCGGTACTCCATTGGTAGTGCAATGAGCTAGAAGTACAGTACATGTATGTAATGTGATGGCGTGGGCTAATTGTCATCATAGAAGATGCATACCCCTGGATCTGGAAAAAAGTTTGATTTTTTTCTTTTAACAACTTTTCAATTTGTAGGTTTTGCTTAAACAGGAAAAGAAACTACTTGATTCCGATTTGGGGCGTCTGCAACCCCATTGAAAAAAAAGGAGGATTTTACGCACAAATGAACCAGCCCTGCAAGATCCAAATTATGTTTTGCAACCAATAGTTTGATTTTTGCGAAGAAATAATTCATTGACTAAATGTCAGTGGATATTTTCATTCGATGTCTCATTCAAAAGTTAATACATTACATATTTGTAGGAAAATAGCAATTGAAAATCTAATCTATTTTTCGCGGGGAAACTCAAAAATACTATGGGGGATGCATCTTTATAGTTAACATCACAAAATGTCACAACAAAATTCCTTCAATTGTGTATTCTTCATGCAGTACCGAGAAGGGCCAATACTTGTATTTGTAATTAACACCAAGTTTCATCAATCACGTTTTGTCAGACACTGTAGTATGTACAGTATCATTCATTCAGTACTTCTTGCATCCCATGGGTGCAACATAAAACATATTGCAGAATTGGCTAATTGTAACAATGACCTTGAGACTACGTATAAACTTTTTAAATGTAAATTTATCTGATGTAGCTGTAGATGTATTCAAACTTTGGGTTTTTTTTTAAATCGTTTGGATATTGGGTTAATTATTATATTTGTATTGAGTCAGAACATGGACATTCAACAGCATACATGTATAAGTTCTTTTCTGTTTCAGTGAGACTCTTTTTGGAGAACACATTCCAGCTGAAAACGAAAGGTTCATATAAGATTGCAGTTTTTCTTTTTAAACCGCATGCATTTTTGGGATGTGTTTTGTTCCTTCATAGCATTATCTGTTTGTCCATAGTCCACCATTTTTAACCACCTTTTCAAACTCTGCTCAATACATGTACACACAGGCACCTTAGTTGAAAGTCCAGTTGCATGGTTGACATGTAAATATGACTTTCTTGTCTTTCTATAAATTTGTGAACGGTACCGTATATCAGCCGTATACCTATTGTAAATGTAGGTTATATATTAATCAATGATAACCAGTTTTGTATTAAGGCCCTCATTATGTGGCCAAAGTTCACATTTGAGTAGATTGTGTATTTAGATTCTGTTTTTGATAAGGTGTAGCTTATTCATGAGGGGGGGGGGGGGGGGGGGTGATGTAACATCGTTGCATGATTTACAACCATGCTTACAAACTGAATCCTGCAATTAGTACAATGGAAATGAATGGTGCAACTGTACTTCTGTACTACATTGTATTACATTGTATTACATTGTATTAGTATTACATTGTATTACATTGTGTTTATTTAATCCATAAATCCTTTGAGTGCTGGGGCAGTTTCTGGTGCTACAGGGAGTAATAGGCTGGACAGATTGGGCAGTACAATGACTAAAGGATTTAAATGCTATAGACCCATTCCATCTGACATCAAATCTGAGGTAACATCTGTGTTACAACATGAGTGGACACATTAGTAAGATTACAAAGACCCCACATTCTATAAAATTGGGGTCCAAGTTTTGTAATTATAATTCACTTTGGGGAAAGTTCATTGGGGATTTATTTGTATCTTTGTTGGCAGTTTCGCACGAATTTATGTCGGCTCACATTTGGCGGGAAAAATTAAGAAACTGTCACATCTTTATTTTGCATTTTAACTACAATTCCCCCACACGTTTGAAAACACAAGTCACAGACAGAACTCAATTAATTTTATGATGGTGACATGGGATTAAAAAAAGCAACACAAAAATACAAATCTCTTATTATTATTATTATTTTATTATTATTTATTTGGCATTAAAAAAAAACAAGCAAACAACAAACATTCATAAAATGTAACAGCGAACCTAGCTATGATAATCTATTGTATAACAACTGAATATTAATAAAATGTATATTTTGCTTCTAATTAATTTCAAAATATTAATCTGTAGTTTTAGCTTATTTGGATCTTTCCATATATTTTTGTTATTGTTAGCATGAATCTCTGTAAAATCTACAGATACCGAGAGTGCATGACTATTGTGTGATAAATATTTTTCACAGATTCTGAATATATATCCAATGATGATGAATAAATAGACAATGAAAGCAAAGTGTTGTAATTCGAATATTGTTTCTTTATCCAGTTCACGTAGCAAAGACATTTTCTTCCGCAATAGTTTTCCTTTTTTTCATCGGCAGCAGTAATTTCCTCTATCTCATCAAATGAAGGAGTTTAATAATTTGATTTTTCTTGGAAAGTTAAAATTGTAAGGGGTTAACCTTGCATTTACACCAAAATTTGAAAAAAATATGGTTTTTCTGGGAAGTTTCAAATTGTAAGGGGTAAACCTTGCATTTTCATCAAAATTGGGGGAAAATTGACTTTTCTAGGAAGTTTCAAACTGTAAGGGGTTAATATTGCATTTCCATCAATATTGGGCAACATTTGACTTTTCAGAACATTTTAAATTGTAAGGGGTTAACCTTGCATTTTCATGAAAATTTGAAAAAACATGGTTTTTCTGGGAAGTTTTAAATTGTAAGGGGTTAGCCTTGCATTTTCATGAAACTTGGTAAAAATTTGACTTTTTCTTCGAAGTTTCAATTTTAAAAGGGTTAACTTTGCATTCAGTCATCAAAATTGGGGAAAATTTGTTTTTTTTCTGGGAAGTTTCAAATTATATGGGGTAAACCTTGCATTTTCATGAAAATTGGTCCAGATTTGACTTTCTTGGGAAGTTTCAAATTGTAAGCTGTTAAACCTTGCATTTTCATCAAAACAAGGCAAAATGTCACTTTTCTGGGAAGTTTCAAATTGTAAGGGGTTAACATTGCATTTTCATCAAAATTGGTCAAAGTTTGACTTTTCTTGGAATTTTCAAATTGTAAGGGGTTAACCTTGCATTTTTATCAATATTGGGCAACATTTTACTTTTTTAGAACTTTTAAAATTATAGAGGGTTAACCTTGCATTTTCATGAAAATTTCAAGTTTCTGGGAAGTTTCAAATTTTAATGGATTAGCCTTGATTTTTCAAAAATTTGGCAAAATTTGACGTTTCTTGGAAGTTTCAAAATGTAAGGGATTAACCTTGCATTTTAGTCAAATTTGGGCAAAATTTGACTTTTCTTGGAAGTTTCAAATTGTTTGGGGTTAACCTTGCATTTTCATGAAAATTGGTCAAAATTTGACTTTTCTTGGAAGTTTAAAATATTAAGGGTTTAACCTTGCATTTTCATAAAAATGTGGCAAAATTTGACTTTCCTGGGAACTTTCAAATTGTAAGGTGTTAACCTTCATTTTCATCAAAACTAGGCAAAATTTCACTTTTCTGGGAAGTTTGAAATTGTAAGGGGTTAACCTTGCATTTTCATGAAAATTTGACTTTCTTGGAAGTTTCAAATTGTAAGTGGTTCACCTTGCATTTTTATCAAATTTGGGCAAAATTTACCTTTCTTGGAATTTTCAAATTGTAAGGGGTTAATCTTGCATTTTCGTGAACATTTGTCAAAATTTGACCTTTTTTTTGAAGTTTCAAAATGTAAGGGGTTAACCTTGCATATTAATCAAATTTGGGGAAAATTTGTCTTTTCCTGGAAGTTTCAAATTGTAAGGGGACAACCTTGCATTTTAATGAAATTTTGCAAAATTTGACTTTCCTGGGAAGTTTCAAATTGTAAGGGGTTAACCTTGAATTTTCATCACAATTTGGCAAAATTTGACTTTTCTTGGAAGTTTCAAATTGTAAGGGGTTTATCATGCATTTTTGTGAAAATTTGTCAAAATTTGACTTTTCTTGGAAGTTTCAAATTGTAAGGGGTTTATCATGCATTTTTGTGAAAATTTGTCAAAATTTGACTTTTTTTGGAAGTTTCAAAATGTAAGGGGTTAACCTTGCATTTTTGTGAAAATTTGTGAAAATTTGACTTTTTTGTGGAAGTTTCAAAATGTAAGGGGTTAACCTTGCATTTTAATCAAACTTGGGGAAAATTTGACTTTTCCTGGAAGTTTCAAATTGTAAGGGGTTAACCTTGCATTTTAATGAAATTTTTGCAAAATTTGACTTTCCTAGGAAGTTTCAAAATGTAAGGGGTTAACCTTGAATTTTCATCACAATTTGGCAAAATTTGACTTTTCTTGGAAGTTTCAAATTGTAAGGGGTTTATCATGCATTTTTGTGAAAATTTGTCAAAATTTGACTTTTTTTGGAAGTTTCAAAATGTAAGGGGTTAACCTTGTATTTTCATGAAAATTGGTCAAAATGTGACTTTTCTTGGAAGTTTCAAATTGTAAGGGGTTAACCTTGCATTTTTGTGAAAATTTGTGAAAATTTGACTTTTTTGTGGAAGTTTCAAAATGTAAGGGGTTAACCTTGAATTTTCATCAAAATTTGGAAAAATTTGACTTTTCTTGGAAGTTTCAAATTGTAAGGGGTTAACCTTGCATTTTTGTGAAAATTTGTGAAAATTTGACTTTTTTGTGGAAGTTTCAAAATGTAAGGGGTTAACCTTGCATTTTAATCAAATTTGGGGAAAATTTGACTTTTCCTGGAAGTTTCAAATTGTAAGGGGTTAACCTTGCATTTTAATGAAATTTTGCAAAATTTGACTTTCCTAGGAAGTTTCAAATTGTAAGGGGTTAACCTTGAATTTTCATCACAATTTGGCAAAATTTGACTTTTCTTGGAAGTTTCAAATTGTAAGGGGTTTATCATGCATTTTTGTGAAAATTTGTCAAAATTTGACTTTTTTTGGAAGTTTCAAAATGTAAGGGGTTAACCTTGTATTTTCATGAAAATTGGTCAAAATGTGACTTTTCTTGGAAGTTTCAAATTGTAAGGGGTTAACCTTGCATTTTTGTGAAAATTTGTGAAAATTTGCCTTTTTTTGTGGAAGTTTCAAAATGTAAGGGGTGAACCTTGAATTTTCATCAAAATTTGGAAAAATTTGACTTTTCTTGGAAGTTTCAAATTGTAAGGGGTTAACCTTGCATTTTTGTGAAAATTTGTGAAAATTTGACTTTTTTGTGGAAGTTTCAAAATGTAAGGGGTTAACCTTGCATTTTAATCAAACTTGGGGAAAATTTGACTTTTCCTGGAAGTTTCAAATTGTAAGGGGTTAACCTTGCATTTTAATGAAATTTTGCAAAATTTGACTTTCCTAGGAAGTTTCAAATTGTAAGGGGTTAACCTTGAATTTTCATCACAATTTGGCAAAATTTGACTTTTCTTGGAAGTTTCAAATTGTAAGGGGTTTATCATGCATTTTTGTGAAAATTTGTCAAAATTTGACTTTTTTTGGAAGTTTCAAAATGTAAGGGGTTAACCTTGTATTTTCATGAAAATTGGTCAAAATGTGACTTTTCTTGGAAGTTTCAAATTGTAAGGGGTTAACCTTGCATTTTTGTGAAAATTTGTGAAAATTTGACTTTTTTGTGGAAGTTTCAAAATGTAAGGGGTTAACCTTGTATTTTAATCAAACTTGGGGAAAATTTGACTTTTCCTGGAAGTTTTAAATTGTAAGGGGTTAACGTTGCATTTTCATGAAAATTTGTCAAAATTTCACTCTTCTGGGGAGTTAAAAATTTTAATTGGTAAGCCTTTAGCTTGTAGACATGCATGCAGTCTATCGGAAATGATGTTTAAATGAGGATGTTTAAACGGAGATCTTTCGCTAAAACCTTGCCAGTACACTTTAAAAACAACATTGGTTAACATAACCAATCATTCGTGCCAACAGACTTTTAGAGCTAGGACATATACCAGTTTGGCCTGGCTTGATTTGTACAGTGCTTTATGCGCTGAATTGGTGTCGGTGGCTCGGGCGGAGTATGGCCCATGAAACACTTCATCCGGGCCTGCCAGTAAGCTCGGTGGTCGAGCGGTAAGACATCTGCACTAGAAAGCAGGAGGTCGTGGGTTCGAGTCCCAACGACTGATTTTTTCCAACTTTCACTCTGGAGGTGACACACTGAGTATACAGTGTTTATAAACCGGTGAAGGGCAAAACCTAATTTGATTTATATCACCCTGACGCAAAAAATCCCATCTGATGAATAATCATGAATCAGTCATCAATGGTGTAGTGTCACAAAAACACATTTAATTTGGAAATACACTTATTGTGCATTACTTTCCAATCGTCATTCGCTTGACTGCATTTCTCATTTCATAAAAAAGCTGAGTCTGATTTCACCGGGATGGTGCAACACACTTTTACAAATCATCCGGAAGTAGTCCAGGAAAGTCCTGATTAAGCCAATTTCCTACACTGCAACTCGGACATCGGCACCACCACGTTTGTGGAAAAGATCTTATGCAACCCTGGAGCAGTAGCCTAGGCTCTTTAGATTGTAGAATCCTGCTGGGGAATTTCGAGGGTCGTTGAGTCGATAATGGAATAATTTGGAATTTCAAGAAGCCCTTTTTGCAGTTTCATTTTAGGCTCCCAAACTCAGAAATTTGCAAAGCTCAAAACGTACTTTCTTATAGCCAAAACAGGTTTACCATATGCGAAATGTATCTAATTCTTAAATGATAATAAACATCACTTTCTAGAGCGCACTATATCTGGAAGACATTAACTGCTTCTTATACTAATGTGAATGTCTGAACTTGTCAAAATTTCGGTAGAATATCGACTTGGTTTCAACTAAAACCACTCTTTTCCTCAACAAAACTTATATCGTTGGCTTATGATCATCCACCGTACCGATTAATCGTACATTATAAAATACATAAACTGATTGTAGGGGGAAAGCCGAGTACGAGTCCTCACACTGAACTGGCTACGGGCTTGAGTTTCTAAAAATCATTGACTGAGTGATTGGAATTGACTATTTTGAGCTGATTTTCGTCACTGTATGACCGATTTGTTCTCTGACATATTTAATTGACGTGACCGTGGTGTTCGGTTTTTCATGCATTTACGAGGGCGCCCTCTGCAATTCGTATGCCGATATTGCATCAACAGCGAGGACGGTCTAGAGCCGCGCACAGTCTGCGCTCTGTCTTTTGTGGTGACAAATTGATTCTCAGGGTGTTATTAAATCAGTACATAAATCAAATGGAGTTGTAATTAGTTGCCCATCTTGTGTTCTTTCGTGAGATGTTGCCTCTCATTTAAAACTCTTCTAAAAAAGGGCACTTTATAAATACAATTTATGTGGTATTATTCTACTCGTTCTTAACTGTTTGAGTCGAGTTGTTTGGATACGTTACGGTTTAACATGCATGTACATGCACTCTAAACTTGATAATCCGAGACGCCGGTCCGAGTTTAGGCATTTCTCAAGCGACAACACAATTCTACCACCCGACTATTTCTGCTAGTGCAGGTATGGGCACATCGAAGGGGCGAAATGGGGTACACTGTTGTGAAGTACAGGATGTTTGGTCCGAGTCTGATGCAGACACTTACTGGGTTGGGTGTGGATCAGTTTGGGCTGGTTTCGGGTCAGTTTGGGCTGGTTTCAGTCCATTTTCCTTGACATTTCATTCGGGCAGGTCTTTTCAGTTTCATGTATATAGTTACGCTGATGTGATAAAATTATATTTGGGTACATTATCCATCTTCAATTTTCCAATCAGTTTTGGGCATGTTGAACCAGCCATAATGTACAACTCCACTCTAGTCTCTACACTAGATTTATAACTTTATAAGCACTGCTCACTGGGTGGCTGCTCTACGGTTCCCACACGCCTATGTTCCGGTTAGCTGATCATGTGGCGTATTTAGAAGTTCAGGTACCCGGCAGGTAGGGCCAAGGCCGTAGTAGCCTAAGCAAACGGAGCTCGCAATCCACGTGTTTACGCCAATATATGCCTACGATCTTAACTTCGAAAAGGTGGTTTCCGATTTTTTTTTTTTCACTTTTAGGAAATGAAAGCACCTCACAACTGCTACGATGGTACACATAATTCCTCCCACACTTTCAACTTTGTTCCAAAATCTGGATACGCATAACATTCGGCCTATTTTTGTCTTCTTTTTTTTTTTTAATTTGTTTCCAGAAAAAAATCGAAATCTGGCAGATAAGGGTACACAATTGTATCAGCAAAAAGAGTCGAGAAAATGAAAGAATATATCCGCCTTCTTTGAAAATCCGCCATCTTGGGGGACAATAAGGGCGGCCGCCTTCTTCCTTTTTAACGAAAAAAAGCCCGGACACAAGAAGCTTTTTCTGGTCTTATACTCAGATTGTCCAATCAGCATTTTGCTGTGAAATAAACTGTCATCATTATTTGTTGTGAGACTGCGAGGGTTTTCTTTGCGAGAAAGTTGTGAAATATATGAAATTAGGCACTACAATGGCTCTAAAATAGTATTATGCAATGAAGCATATTGGCGTCCATTTTCAAAATGGGCTTCAGGACTGCTTTAATAGGGGTGATCATGGATGGACTTTTCTCCCAAAATTCATCGGTTAACCCCCACAAAATGAACGGAAAATGAAAGATGAGGAAATAAGCTTTAATTTGATGCTCGTCCAAACACCTAGGAGAGTAGTGAGTATACGCGTAACTTTATCACTGAAAAAAAAATCATATCTTCCTGACAAACACAATAACATGCAGATAACAAGGTGCGTTCGCGGTGGTGCTTGGCTAAAAATCTAGGTCGCTATATCCGCTCAAGTGGACTTCGGCAGCGTTCATAGAAACTAAATAGCATTGGCCAGTCATGGCTCCAGGCCTGGTACCATGGTGCGACAATAGTATTGGAACAGCTTGCACGGGTCACAATATTCGACCAGTTTTGTTTGAGCAAGAAGTAGCATCGTTACTCGTTAGAAATAATTGTATATGATATCTTGTCCACTACTATACTGTGTTCTGCCACAGCCATTATGGAGAGTATTAGAATCATATTATATCTGGTGGTCTTGATGGTTGCCGGTTCAGATGGGCAACTTGAAGGTAAGTATATTTTAATAGAGGAGCCTATTGGGATTCAAACTAAATAAATGAATGTCGGCCAAGCTTATAATTTCGCTCTAAATTTTGTTTGTTTTGTTTTTTCCCCCGCCAAAAATGTGCAAAATGCTGCAAAGACTGCCTATACCAGACACTTTTTCCCAGGATACAATTTTTACTTTCAATCAAATAATTTTTTCGTTCGTCATAATTTGCCAGATGAATCCGTAATTTTTTAAAAATTATGCATTATATATATAATTAGGACTACAGCCTACAGTAATTACAAAATAATACAATTGATTGAAATGTCTTTTGTGATTTCAGTTCGCTCTAGATTTTAAGTTTGATTGACCAGCAAATATATAAAAACAAAAAGACACTTTTGTGTGAAAAGAATTGACCCCCCAAAATACCCTGATGATATAAAGAGGGTCCAAATTGTGATGTCAAATTTTTCAGCCCTGTTGATAAAGCTATTTCTTCTGTATATCAAAGTCCAAAAAATATTTATTTTGTACAATGACAAAATTACTGATGAAAGCATTATTTACGAACTAAAAACCCGCTACAAATCCTTTAACCACCGTACGCACAGTGTAACAGTAACACTGGTAAAGTTTGATGAATTAGTTATCAGCTTCGGGGATCAAACAATGTTGTTGTAACGCTTACGGTATGTGCTATCACATAAAACATTGAGTCTGGAATTATAGGTATTTTTTCTGGCTATTTTAAAAGTTTTCTATTCCAGTTCACCAATTTATATACTTTGAATTCGTCCAAGAATAAAATCAGATGCTTTTGGCGATATGAATTTAGTAATTTATCATTCAATTTCAAAGTTTGGTTAACCGTTTTGAGCACTCATCAGAGGTCAAGAATGATTGTATCCGTCAATACAGATTGAATTCATGTCGGCTGTTGCCGATGATAACAGCATTCAAAGATTGAATTCGTCCTATATCCATCACTTTCATGCTTCTGTTATGGGTGGTTGTTAATGAGAGTTGTCCTTATGTCCTAAATCGCAATTCGGCACATTCGTTCGCGTGATACTGGGGGTGTGGGCTACAGAGCTCAGAGTTCAGTTGCCAAACGAAAAGCGTAAACATTACCAAGAACAACAAAACACAAAGTACTTTCAAATTTAAAATTTTTTGAAATGAAAGAAGGAAATGAATGGGGAAAAATTACGATGACCCTTCAAAATGACAGCAAGTCCACCAAAAGGTATAATTTCACAGGGAGTTTAGTGCCATTACTATCTTTAAACTCAGCAATGATTTTATCAGTTACTTTTTGGATAGCTGCAAATGATGGACTCTACCTTTAAACGAACTACCTTTAAATGGTATAGCAGTAAGATTGGAAACTCGGTCTGCCCATTCTTGCCTTCAGATTCGGTCTACTATTTGTACGAATTCAGTGCCTGTGCTCGCAACGACAGCGTATCAACTGACATCTCCAATGATGTTCCATACGGGAGCAGCGTTACAGTCGCGTTAAGTGACTGGAGAGATAAGTCCGACGACAACTGTTCTCTGGTCTTGACCTACACATCAGCGCTTTTCTCCGTGAAATTAATCTGGGTGTATATGGAAGAGGGAACCTGCGTATCACTCTTTGACGGCAACACCACCTCGGCAAGTTCCATGGTGCGCAGATGCGGATCAAGCAATGAATACATCAAACTCTTCACCACGGGACCTGCCATTCTTTTTGCCGTAGACACCACAGACGAAATCGTTCCTAGAAGAGATAGCTTCGACATCTTGCTCATACCGTTTCCGGAGGGAGGTAGGGGGTTTTCATTTATCTATAATCATCGATTCGTTTATCTATAATCATCGATTCATTTATCTAAAATCAGTTCGTTTATCTATAATCATCGATTTGTTTATCTATAATCTATAATCATCGATTCATTTATCTATAATCATCGATTCATTTATTTATGATCATCGATTCGTTTATCTATAATCATCGATTCGTTTATCTGTAATCATCGATTGGTTTGTCTAAAATCATCGATTCGTGTATCTATAATCATCGATTCGTTTATCTGTAATCATCGATTGGTTTGTCTAAAATCATCAATTCGTATATCTATAATCATCGATTCGTTTGTCTATAATCATCGATTCGTTATCTATAATCATCGATTCGTTGTTTATAATAATCGATTCGTTTATCTATAATCATCGATTCATTTATATATAATCATTGATTCATTTATAATTAATCATCGATTCGTTTATCTACAATCATCGATTCGTTTATCTATAATCATCGATTCGTTTATCTATAATCATCGATTCGTTTATCTGTAATCATTGATTCGTTATTTATAATCATCGATTCGTTTATCTATAATCATCATTTCGTTTATCTGCAATCATCGATTCGTTTATCTGTAATTGTCGATTCGTTTATCGATTTTTCTCCACTTCATTTGCTTGTCCCAGAGACAGTAACCAGCATATCCTCTTTGCAACTGACTGACCGACTGACTCACACTTAAGAATTAGGCTGGTTTTGTATGCGATGTAGTAACTAATAATAATAATAATAATAGTGGCTTCTTGTATAACACTCATATCCGTCACTATGCTCGTGGCGCTCTATTATTACCCTGGCTTTAGCACGGCTGCCATTACGGCGCTCCAGCATTGAAGGAATTTCTTCCTACCAGGTACCCATTTACTACGCCTGGGTGGAGAGAGGCAGTCGTAGTAAAGTGCCTTGCCCAAGCGCACAAGCACCATGTTCCCCACGACAAATAGGCCTATTGTTGATGTACCATAGCATGGCGCGGCCCCCAACGTGGTGCACCAAGTGATTTTTCGCCTCTAGTGCTTTGTATAATAGAACAGAGTTGTTATCTCAATTTCACAGAAAGTGAAATTGTACCAAGCTCTAAAAAGTCTCGTTCGTAAATCTTGAGTTTACGTACCTGCTCCAAAGTTTCAGGGAAATACTATTTTGGCGTTATTTTCCGATTTATTTTCGAAGTGCACAAAGTTCAAACTTTCATCCAAAAGTAAGAAATAATTGGTAACAAAGTTATAGTTGCGTATGTGAGTGGAGATAATATTGATTTATCAGAATTCATCAACTTTCAAAGAAATTCGTAAATGTTAATGCGGGATTTTCCGAGATTTGTTCAAGTGCGCCACGTTTAAGGGAACACTCGACCGAATCTGTGCCCAATATCCGGACGCCACTGTTTTGGAATTTCGGACTGAATTTCATGACAAACTAAAATTGTTCACAAAGTTCAACAGCAAGCATTATTAAGGTAATAGTACCAGTTTTTAAATGAATGAAGTTTTTCTACGAAGAGGTTTGGCAACACTGCATGAGGAAAATCGGGGGCAAAGTCGAAGTGCGCCACGCGCGTTAAGGAACACCATACATCACTCGTTCGCCGCTTAATTGCTTCATGCACTTTCATGACAGCGTGGGAAATCAGTCAGACTCCTGCGAACTGCGAATTCAAGGCTTCTCCAAGGTGTGCCGTTAAGTGCAGCTTATTCTACGAAAGTGTCAGCCTTTCTGAATTCAATTGTATTATGTGCACTCTGGGACCAGCTTTACTATGGTTGTCTAGTCTTGTTTCAGTAACGATTGTCTGGAGTAAATGTTCCGTTTTTCTTTAATTACAGCGACCTACTTCATGGAGGACTTCTGTTCGAACGACACACTGGTGCATCCCAATCAGACCATTTGGCTTCACACCAACAGGGGCAAGTTCTACGACAAGGACATCAATTGTACCATGACGCTGTACACCCAGATTGATCACAGGCTGCTGATTAGAATTGTTCAAGGGTCACTGGGGGAGAATGATTGTCTGAAGTACTACGATGCAAGCGGGACAAATGGCGAGGAATTTATAAAATATTGTGCATTTAATAATCCACCTTATGAATTTGAGTCTTTCGGCCGTTTCCTGACAATCAAGTTTGAAACGGATTCGCAAGACCTAGATGAAGGAGCAGTCATGGAGATCACGACTTCCTCTGAAGGTAAGCCTGTCGTTTTCTTTGCACTGACGTCATCGCAACTTGCGGTTCACCTCCACTCACCACTCACCACTACTATCACCACCGTGCACCATCGACACCGCTGTCATTCATGTTTAACTCTCTTTGTTTCCAGATTGGGAATGTTTTTTCTCTGATGAAGTCCCGTGTGAAAATTACCGTATTTGCTATTGGATGGGTGGTAACTGCGATGGTTATGACCACTGTCCGGACGGAAGCGATGAGAAGAATTGCAGTAAGTTTTCACAGTTCAATTTTCTTTTTACTGCTAGTGGGATGCCGCGCTTTGCGCGGCAAGCGCTAGCTGAGTGGCCTGTACTAATATATACTTTGACATCAATTTGCATGTTGACCCAAAGTGGGCGTGGTAATCCTTGGTGAAGAAATTATGTCACTTTTTCAGCATCAGCGTCGTGTTTTGAGTAATTTTTAGCGACACGTTTTCGGAGTGGTTTCATAGAGATAATGTTGTAATATTTAACCATTAAAAGTCTGAAAGAAACAAATTTGCCAAAAAATATCAAAATTTAAAAGTATTTTTTTTTCAGTCGCCAATCGTGACTTCAGAGGACAGTGAAATCGGAGCATTATATACCATGTAAGCACCGGCATAAAATAGCCTAACTCCCTAGGGGTGTGCAAAATCATATGAGGATGGAGGATTCAGGAATGTTAGGGTTAACCATTGAATTTTGTGCTTCCGCACAACTCATTATACATTTTAAAAAAAGACACACAGATATCAGACAGATAGACAGACAGACAGACAGACATTGTAGGATATGTTAATATTATTATGCCGATTTCAACGGAAATGGGGTTTAACCCGGCCATGCACCCCACCCCAACCCAGATTGGAATACATAATTATATTGGGAAGGGCAAAAACGGAACACAATTAAAGAAGAGGCCCGAAGCCATAACATGCATTTAACGTCTTGGCCCCACTTTGGCTATATAGAGAACAATCAATTCATGTCTCGCAAATAAGGGTGATTTCCAATCTTAAACGTCGTTTCACTTTTTTTTTGGAAACAAGGAAGAGCAAACAAAACCAGTTTATATTAGATACCCCTTCTCCAAAAACAAACAACAATCCATTCACACACACAAAACAGGTAGGCCTTGCCAGAAGTCACGTCATCTCCAAGAGTTCGTTGGTTGTTTTATTCACACTTTCAGGTCAGCCTGGAAGCTGCAATCCCGGCCAAAATGGTTGGGACACTTGGAAAAAACCTTAGCCTCCAACGGTCACCAACTCCCCCGCCCCCGGTCAATGTTGTTCTCTTCAGGGATGGAGCACACACCGCGCAATGAGTTCTCTTCAGGGGATGGAGCACACACCGCGCAATGAGAGACAACATTGACCGGGTGCTGGGGGGTTGGGGGCCCAGCGAGATTTGGCTTGATTGTAGCTCTTGTAACGGTTAGGGTTTTTGACGTGTTTTACTTGTACAGCTACCTGTGAATCTGACGTTAAATGCGTGACTCCCACAAACGAATGGGTGTGCATTCCAGTGGAAAAGATGTGCGATGGAGTTGACGACTGCCAGAACGACAGAGACGAAGACGACTCCCGTTGTATTTGTAAGTGCTCCTCGAGGCCTCCATACATGCCCATTAAATGTCGCTTTTGATCTTTTTTGTTTGTTTGTAAGATCGTCCCTTTTTATTTGGTTCTCATATTAGTTTGCCTCTTGCTCTGAAGTAGGGTATATCGGTCGGCTGCAAAACATGTATTGCTGTTGCGCCATTATATCCGGTTCGTTAGTGTGACGTCAGTTCAGTTTAAAACACGGCCACTGCCCATTAAAGCAGCATTGGAACCATTGGAACCGGAAGCTACGCGCAACTTGAGTGTTTATCCAATGGGCGCTGGTACTGTGCGCACGCGTGTATGACGTTTGTACTAACGAACCGAATAGTTAAACTAAATTATGCAACATGCTCATTGCCTCTTGTTGATGTAATTGTTTTTGCGAGGAGTTTAAAAAAGGATGCCCTCACGGCCCGTTTCTCTTTTTAAAATGTTTCCTTTGTCCGCCCTCTATTGAATATCTCGTCAGAGAGACGCAAATGTAGCCCTGCTTTTCCACTTTTTTACGGGTTATCTTTTAAATTAATTTGTTCCCCTTCAATAATGTAATTATTGTTTAATGCATTTCTTTTTACTCTTTATACAAGATTGCATCCTTTAAAATTTTTTTAAGACTATATTTTAGAATGTTTACATGGAAAGCGCATCAAGGGCGGATCCGGGGGGGGGGGGGCAAAGGGGGCCATGCCCCCCCCCCCCCAAAAAAAAAACGAAACCAATTTTTTTTGGTTAAAGTGGTCATAAATTGCCTCAGATCGCACAACAGAGCATCTAGAATCCAAAAAAATTTCGGGGCCCTTAAGCGGGCCCCGAACCCCACGCCGTAATTCTTTTGACCCACTTTTTGGGGGGGGAACCAAATTTTTTTTGGCCCCCCCCTAAAATTGTGTTCTGGATCCGCCCTTGAAGCGCATATGAACATATCTGTATTTTATCTTGGAATTTGCGCAGTACAAAAACAATACAATTATTTGTGCACAAGTCTATGGGAATGTCTCCCTTATAGTATATGTTTCGGCTATATCATTACTATCGCAAATTATATTTGGGAGACAGTTTAGCGTCAGAAGTTATACCTTTGGGAGACATGTGGAATGAGGGAGACGTTTCAATGTCTCCGTAATGCCTCAGCTCCTATTTACAGGCACAATGCCTGTGTCGCAAACAGGCCTGACCGATTGCTCGTGGTCCAATTGGTAAAATACCGAAATTCTTGGGGTAGGATAGGGTAAAATTGGGGGTAGGGGTCACGAAAGTTGGATCATTATATTTGTGCACAAGTCTATGGGAATGTCTCCTATTAATGGTATATTTTTCGGTGATATTATATATTACTGTTTTCGTCGTCGTCGTCACTTCTATAGCGTGCTACAATGAAGATCTTCGTTGCCTGGATGATTCCGGCTACCCCCTTTGCGTTCATCCTAAAAAAACTTGTGATGGAAAGTCCGACTGCCGAGACGGAGAAGACGAGGATAAGGCGCTTTGCGGAGGTAAGATTGAACCACGAGTCCGTCGAAGTCAGTTCCATTTACTCAGTCTCACTTCCAAAAGAGTGACACTAGAAATCAGGTGATTTAGAGTGTAAAAATCACTCCAAGATCAGATCAAAATAATTTGAAAGAAAAAGAAGTCCGCTCCAGTGGAGACTCGAGTGAAAACTGGAACTATTGAATTTCGGAAAGCAGCGACAACATCTGGCATTCGTAGTTAGTACCGGTACCTGGACTTGGCAGTCTTGTCGTCCAGACCTTTTCTGGCACCTGTCGGGACCTTGTTACAACTGCCACAAAATGCCGTGAATTTAGATGAAGTGATGCCACGTTTATAGCTCATCACTCAACTTCCCTCATATCTACAGTTAAAAACCGGTTCTTCTCAGAACCATTACATACTCACAAAAGAGATTAATGTCATAGGAATTGAACCGAACCTTAATCTAATGAGTAAAATAAAATGCTGCTGTACATGCCTACATGGTGCGTAAAAAAACGAAACCCAAATGTCAGGACTATTATTTTAGTGAAGTTCTACATGTAGCGCTTTCAAAATCTAGGATATAAAAGCCCAATTCATAAGCTTTCTTTTAGTACAGGAATCATTCAAATCACTTACGTACTTTTCAAGTTACGGAATTTTAAACACAACCACCGTTTTAAAGTTCTGTCCACGGATCACAAAAAAGCGTGCATTCTTTCAGCAAAACGAAAACCATTCACGCACATCCCTATGTGATATGTTTTGGTTTTGCTGAAATATTGTCATTCCCTTTTTGTGATCCGTGGACAGAACTTTAAAAACGGTGGTTGCGTTTAAAATTCCGTAACTTGAAAAGTATATGAGTGATTCAGATGATTCTTAGACTGAAAGAAAGCCTATGAATTGGGCTCTCATAAGTTGAGATATTGAAAGTGCTACATGCAGAACTTCACTAAAACAATGGTCCCGACATGTGGGTTTCGTGGTTTTCGACTCACCCTGTATTGTATTCTGAGTGTCACCCGTTAATATCCACGAAACCAATCTCCTGTGCAGCAGCACTGTAATTCTCGAATTCGATTTGTTCAGATTGCCCCTCCTCCGATGGAATTCGTTGCCGGGATTTTTACGGCCGCCCCCTTTGCGTTTATGCTATGTGTGATGGATATCTTGACTGCAGCGACGGAGAAGACGAGGATGACGCGATTTGTGTGCGTAAGTTTGAACCACGCGTCTGTCAAAGTCCGTTCCAATTACTCTCATTTCCAAAGAGTAAAACTAGAACCCAGACGAAATAGAGTGTAAAAATCACTATGATTTTAGATCAATATAATTTGGAAAGAAAGGGACCTTGACCACTCCAGTGGAGACTCGAGTGAAAACTCAACTATTCGATTGTATAAATTTCACACTAAATCTTATTGTCCCCAATTTCAGTCGGGGTCGGGAGTGAGTAAATTCCACGCTTTTGAGAATCAGCGAGAACATCTTGCATTCGTAGTTAGTACCTGCACTTGGCATTGTTGTACTTCAGACCTTTTTCTGGCGCCTGCCTTGACCTTATTACAGCTGCCACAAAGCCACGTTTGCGTCATCACTGAACTTCGCTCATATCTAACGTTCTATCAATTGGAAAGGATTTTTGGGGTCTCAACTTTACACTTGGTATTCCCTCCTGGTTCGGATCAAGATCTTCTGTCCCCCCAGCCTGATGTATTTGGATCGAGGGATTCAACAATATCAAAAGAGCAGACAGAAATGAAATAACGGACCTGCATATTCACATTGAAAGGCATATAGTCACTTGCAACAGCCCAGTCACAGTCAAATCTAATCAGAGGCCGAGCTTGTTCCTGATTTTGGATCATCGGAATATCGAAGTCTGAGAGGTATCCTGTCGTTTTTGCTTCTCAGTTGTTTCCTTTCTATTTCAGCTTTATATTAAATTGAAGCTTATTCTTTGTTTGTTTTTTTGGTTGGTTAACTGACTGCAGATAATTGTACGTCGAACTTTCTGTGCCATTCAAACGCTAGAGAGTTTATCTGTCTACCATCTTCTAAGATTTGCGACTCTGTAGCCGACTGCATTGATGGCAAAGATGAAGCCTCTTCTCTCTGTGGTGAGTTCCGACTTCGTCGTCGTGGCATAATATAGGCTTATGCCGTGTGGTTGCGAAGAGCGATTTCTAAAGGTTACTTTTACATTTGTGAAATAATTTCGAAAATTAATTTCTCCCGTTTGGAAGACCATATTTTCATGCAACTTTCAGGGTTTATTTCCCATATAATGATCCAAGTATGTGCTAAAATTCGTTTTGATATGTTTATTATTTTGATAGAAATACATAGATTTGGGGCCGTTTTCGAACGATTTCTTCCCGACTTTAAGGTCAGTTTTACCAGTAACCAGTATTGACGTTTTGGCATCGATGACGGCGACTTTTTTACTGACATGAAGTTTAGAATTTCTTCTTCCGTTACAATTTAACATTTCAATCATACTGAGCATATTTTCTGAGAAACACCAACGTTCAAAAGGCCATGTTTTTGGGGGTACATGGATTTTACTGATGTTATAGCGTCTAAGTATGTCATGGGATTAACTTTGCTGATCAACGGCAGAACCATTTATTCTATAACGTCACTAGGCCATGACTAATTGTACCTGGCATGTTTAATGTCTCCTGAAGTTCAGTAAAACACAAATCATACTTTATTTTTTTTCGACAATAATTCGGCTCTCGCATGGTGGATTCCGTCATTAGTGTGCAAAATGAAATCGTAAAATGGTAGCCCCCCCCCCCCCGTTTAAACAAAACATAATACAAACTGAAACTTCGGCAGCAGATTATTTTTTGTTTCGGTTTTTGTCTTGTATTTGCTTTTGAAGAGCACGGGGAACACATCTTTAAGTGTTAATGAACAATTTTTTTATTTAGCCTCCTGCAGTTCTGGAGTCCGATGCAAACTGGACGAGGGCGGTTTTGTCTGCGTTGACGAACGGTCTCTTTGTGATTCGTATGAGGACTGCATAGACGGACAGGATGAAAGTTCAAGTGTTTGTGGTAAGTGACATGGCCACTCCACCCCCCCCCAAAAAAAACCCACTATGGTACGAGACCCCATAATAATGTGCCTATGTTTTTTTCTGTTTCCTCAAAAAGCATAACATTCTCTGAGGCTAAGTATTATTTTGAGCAATTTGTTGAGCACTGCATTCACAAAGAAAAAAAATGCACCAAAAGCAAATGGTACAAGTTCACCATAATTCGCCCTGTTCACCTTAATTCGTACTACGTCGCATTTTGTACAGTGAGAACGCTTGCAGGTTCATCATATGTATCAATATTTTGTTTGTCTAGTATAATAAGACAGATTTCTTCAGAACTTGGTAAGATGAGGGCTTCTAAAATCTGGGAGAATCACGGACCCGTCTCATTTGGCGTTGTTTTATTCTTACAGAGCCTCCGATCCTCTCGTACTGGTCTCCGGGTCAGCTTGCTGGTATCTTCACCGGTTACATCGTCTTCGCTGTCATCGTCGTGGTCATCACGTGTCTCATCCCAAAGAAATGCAGACCTGTCGATGGGTGACCTGTACATAGAAATCCCCAGCAAAAAAAATCGCTACAAATGTGAAATTTCAACGAATTTCAAATTCCCTAAGAGAGTTGAAAAGCTGAGTAGCTTGTGTGTATATATCGCTGGACCTCATGAAAGACATTTTTTAGAAGGTTCTCTCAGTGAAGATGCCACTATGAACATGCCTAGTTTTAAAAAGTGTGGCACGATTTTTGTTACCATTTTCGTACTTTTTAAACGTTCTAACCTGAAATGCTATTTACCCCTGTGAAGTTGTAGTTGTGAAGTTATTATTATTTTTTTTTTTAGAAAGGACTATTCATGTATAATGTACATTTAGGAAACCTTTGTACAAATTATACAAATTGAAGCTTATTTAGCTTCCTGTAATTGTTCGAGTGACTTTTTGTGTAGTCAATGAAATTCTCACAAAATAATGAGAATCGAAGAAAGGAAAAAGAATACAAAAACCCCACCAAAACACTGAACATGTCACTATACTCGCAAAAACATGTATGTACACACACACACACACAATTTCGATTTTTGCCAAATTGAAACCGATGAAGACCTACAGCTAGCTTGGCATTGCCTCATATTTCATTTCCTTAAAAGTTGATTTTGCACTGCTTTTGTATCCGTTTTTTAAGCATAAGCTAAAACGAGCAGTCGTATTTCAAAATTCGCAGTTGAACGTGTTGACTGAAAAAGTAGAAAATAAATTAAAAAAAAGGTACAATTCTTATACTTTAGGCTAAACTAGTAGGCACAGTCAGCAACAGAAACTGCTGGTACATGTGTGCTTGACAAAGCAGCATCACAGAAAACAAAGTTGAACTTTATCGTGTCAGTGTGCAAACAATTGATATGTCGCCGTGACGTTTGAACCTCACACACACACACACACGTTGTAGAATGCTTCATTATGCAGATTCTAAATATAAACTAGGCCTATACTACCAACAGGTCATTTATATATCGGTCAGTTGGTTAATTATTGATGGAAAAGTTCAGTTCATTTCAGCGAGAAAGGGTACACAAAGCGAAAGAACTCGTCGACTCTGACGTCAATTTATTGCGACCGCTTGCTGCAGCACTAAAAGGCCTATATTCATGAACAGAAAGCTGTGTCTTTTAGAAGTCCTTATGGTTTAACTTACAGGCTTGATGGCGGAACAAAAACAATGAGAAATGCTTCAAAGCCCTCCCCCCTTCCTTAAAAGGGCACTTTATAAATAAAACTGATCATGATGCAATTCTACTCATTCGTGTTTGAGTCGAGTTGTTTGGATACGCTTGACATGCATGTACATGCACTCTAGACTTGATGATTGGAGACGCAGGTCCGAGTTTAGGCATTTCTCAGCGCGACAACCGACAATTCTACCACCTGGCTATTCCTGCTGGTGCAGGTGTGGGCACATCGAAGGGACAAAATGGCCGGGGGTACACTGTTGTTGTGAAGTACAGGATGTTTGGTCCGAGTCTGATACAGACATTCACTGGGTTGGGTGTGGATCAGTTTGGGCTGGTTTCGGGTCAGTTTGGGGTGGTTTCGAGTCAGTTTGGGCTGGTTTCGGGTCAGTTTGGGCTGGTTTCGGGTCAGTTTGGGCTGGTTTCGGTTCAGTTTGGGCTGGTTTCGGGTCAGTTTGGGGTCAGTTTGGGCTGGTTTCGGGTCAGTTTGGGCTGGTTTCGGGTCAGTTTGGGCTGGTTTCGGGTCAGTTTGGGCTGGTTTGGGGTCAGTTTGGGCTGGTTTCGGGTCAGTTTGGGCTGGTTTCAATCCATTTTCTTTTGACAGTCAATTCGGGCAGGTCTCTTCAGTTATATAGTTACGCTGTGATAAAAACTTCAGTGATAAAAACTTCAGTACTAACAGCAGAGATGGTTTTTGCGCATGCCATGATACACAACCTGTATTGTGGGTTTCAAAAAAATGAAATTAATTCAAAATAAATAAGTTTGTACAAATTGTTAAACTATTCAATAAATATGACATTAACTAACCAGTATAAGAAAAAAAAACAAGTGACCACTAAAATGTAACTTCCATCAAGTGTGGTAGAAGAAGAATACAAATAAATATGCATATGCAAATATAAACTTGGTAAAAAATGGCAAGAGTGAACGAATAATGAGCATCATTCAAAGCTGAAAACACTTTGCACACGTACATGTATATAAACATGGATAAAAAGAGGAAAAAATCACTCCTCAAGTGACAACACGCTTGGGTTCGGATTTGGTTACCATCTTCAAATTTTCAGGATCTGCTTGGGCGTGGTTAACCTGACCCAATGCACATCTTTACCCTGCACTGATGCAAGTTTATAAGCACTGCTTCTTTGGAGTTGTTGCTCATATATCAGAGCAAATATTAGTCAGCCATCTTCTTGAAGGTGGAGCTAAAGACTCCAGTCCGATTCGTCCATTTGGAGGAGAGTCCAGGGGCAGTCATCAATTACGTGGACGGTCGTCCGTGTCTCTCCGCATTCACATAAGGGGGAGGGTGCCAACTGCCACTGACGCATACAGGATGCAAATCGGCCAACTCCCGTCATCAGGCGACAAGATGGCTGACAAATTGGTTGCCCTCCTATATGAGCAACAACTCGACAGAAGAAGATACATGTAAGCACTGCTCAGAGATGTCTAATAGAGCTATGAAGACATAATCACAAGCTGGCTCAGGTGGGACTTGAACCCATAACCAACTGGTTAGAAGTGCAGATGTCAAAAGCACTAGAGCGCTTCCTTGGGTCAGCTGGCTGGTTCAAATATTTATGAGTCAAGAAGCTCAACGTCTTGATCTGACCTCATACACAATCCTCCTAGGAAGCTGCCAAGTCCTTAGTGTTCTGACTGGTACATGGTCCGGGATTCTGATGATGAGGAAAGCGGGCGCTCTAATCTCGGTCAGAGACCACAAAGAGTTGGCCGCTCATCAGGGGATTCCTGTCAAATATCAAAGTCGCTGTCATCTCACAGACTCTTGATAACGTTTGCTGCTCCTGCGAGATCAAGGAAGAGATATGGGCAAATCCATTTATCATTTAAGATTCAACAAGTGCTTAGCCGACAAGTTGCATATGCACTCCAGCACAGTGAGTTTTGTACATGGCTCTGGATTTATGAGCAAGCAAGGTTTGTGTTTTTCTTCTGGTTTGACAACAAAAAATGTTTTTTTTGTTGGGTGGCACAAGAGGAAATATTTGGTTCCTGTCTCCAAGACTAGATAAATTACTGAAAAACCAAAAAATACTGCAAACTGTTGATTTATCCTGTATTCATCATTTATTTGTTTTTTAACCATTTCTAGATTAAATTATGTCCCCATCTGTAAACCAGTAACTTTATGGTAAAATGCCACAATTTCACTTCCGGATCTTCCCACTAATTCTTAAAGAATTTCTTTCTCGGTCACTTTCTTGAGATATCATTGGCACTGTTTCATCAGCGTTGTCTCTCAGCCAATGCAGGGGAAGTTTGGTCAGGTAGAATTAAGATTTTTGTTTTCGAGCCCCCTCCCCTCCATTATTACATCTTTTTTAAGTATCACGAAAAATATCATATCAAGATGTTTGAATTGCAATACAAATCAAATTACGCCACTGCTAGGGCTTTGTGATGATAACTTCCAACTGAATATTCAAATGGTTTTGTATATCTGAAAACAATTCACATTTACAATACCTTTTCCTGTGTAGTTGTGTAGACAACCAGGAATGCTAGAACCCTCTTGTCTTTTCCTCGAGCATCTAGTCTCTTTGCAAGCCGTCTGTAGGTCCCGAGTGTCCTGTCACTGTCATCCTGCAGGTGGCACATGCATGCCAGGAGGCCATCGCAGTCTGGTTTGGAGACTAAGGCATCCAAACTCTCTTCACATTTCATAGTCGCTTCTTCCTGTGCTGGTTTGATCTTTAAATGAAAAAAACAAAACAAGAACAAACGTGAAAGAGACTGGGTTGGCGATCCACTCTAACAAAGATTAATAACGAATAAATGACTGATTTCAGTAATCTTGTACATTAATTTGAACAAGCTCGCTACATCAGTTGGCACTCTCTCCAATAAACAATCGCCCCCTTTAAAAAAAAATGAATTATGCTTTGTTAGGAACTGTCCAAAACCTACTGATGTAAATTGGCCTGTCAGTTCCACTTACCGAATGGAGAACAACGGTGGTATGAACATATCTAACAGCATCTGGCATCGTTGGCACAACCGAGACCTGGAAAGAAAAGGACAAGCAGAAATGTCAAGACTCAAAAATCTAGCCTCCTTAGAATGATGGTTAATCCCAACTACACTTTGATTTAAAGGCAAATAGGTTCATGAAACTTTGAGAATTGTACCTTCAAGTTGCGTGACGCTAAACAACTAGCAAGATTATTGAAGACCTTGCTTGATAAGGGATCGCTGTTTATGAGATAAACCTCTGACCAAAGCACTGTTGAAAAGGAAAAAAATAGAAAGGCTAAAACATGGATAATTTTATCCAACTTCCAATCAGGTCCTCTTGTATAAAAAAAATAAAATAGAATAGTATGTATTTGTTTTATCACAATTCTTTGTAAATGTCACTGTCAGGTTTTCTTAACTTCCAGAAACTTGCTATCAAGTGTTGGAAGACAAATTACTAGAGATTCAATTGGTGAATCTGGTGAGATGTTAAACCATTTGTCACTGTAGCACCCGATACGGCCTGCCTATTATTTCCTGTAGCGCCTGAAACCTTCTACACATTCAATGGTTTAAGGAATTATTCAGTGAAAAGACATAAAGTGATAATTGGTTAATACCAATTACAATATAGTATGCCAAGTACAATATAAACAGGCATGCAACTGGGAAATCACAGAAAAAGAGGAAATTCAAATTTTCCCCAGACTTTGTACAGTGTTTTTCTATTTTCAATGGCACCCATGGGAAGTAAAAAAAAAAGGAAAACAGCTGATCCGATGAAAAGTTGCATGCCTGTATAAAGGAACTAGAGCACCCTAACTGACTGAAAGATCATATCATTAAACCTAATACAAACTTTTGGGCAAAACAACATGGTATTAAATGGAATGGGACAAGCAAGTACCATTTAAAGGTTAAAAGAAGGATGCTGGAGCTTGGGACGAGATAAGCCCATTAATTTTGAGGAATTTTTAAAAACTCATTGAGATTTCTTGCCTACCTTTGGCTAATGACTCAGCTGCTACAAGATCCTTCCTGTAGGTAACCTGAAAATCCAACCACAAATGACTAATTCAAAGGAATGCAATAATAATAATAATAACTGTATTTATATAGCACTTTTTGCCAGAGGATACACAGCGCTGGGGGAGAATGCAACCAAAGACAGGTATATGAAGTACCGTACAATGTATACATGTACAAACATATGAGACCCATTATGAAGCACCTTTTTGCTAGGTGCTGCGGCGCATAATTGCTGCCACTGCCAGAAACACCGGGGCAAACCCCTCCTCTTAGCGACAAGTGTTACTGGGTTCTTTAACGTGCATTACACAACACACGGGACCTACAGCTTTACGTCCCATCCGAAGGACGAAGCAATAATGGTAAAGTGCCTTGCTCAAGAGCACAAGCACCATGTTCCCACGGTCAGGATTCGAACCCATGCACCACGGCACACGAGTCAAACACCGTAACCATTGGACCACAGCGGAAATTTAATAAATAATGAAGAATCTTTTTCGTTTAAACGTTTAAATTGGTCAACACCACATCCTTAAACTGTAGATGATTGAAGGGCCATCTTAAGCCATCCCTCACTCATTAATTGTGACTTTGTCTGAATTACTTGGTTATGGCTTACACTGATACATGAGTCTATGGGAAGCGGCTGTGGCTACTTCTCATTGACAGGTGTTATTGCTAGGCACAGCCAAATAAGTTGGAGGCAGCCTTACCTTCCAAACATAGTCAGGTGCTTCAACTAACTTAGCTCTGCAGCCTGTATATTTTAAGGCCAGGTCCAAGACCTCGGTTCCATGGTCTAGGTCATGCTCCGATATCTGAAGAACACAGGTTGGATGAACAAAAAGGAATAAAAGGAAATAATGAAGTGAAAACAATGATGATACATGTACACATTACAATGTGCTCACCCTTAATCATCAGGTCATAGACATCCCAAACTTTACTTTGCTCAGAAGAGCCAAAATCTGTCCGTAAATCATCCTTGGGAATCAAATACAAGATCCTCTGGGAATAGTAGAACCATTGAACTGTGTGTGTAGATGGCCAAAGGATTTTGATTAAAGCCCTTCAGACAATTAACCTGCCAAAGTCTGTGGGGGATGCAAAGGATTGATAATGATTCATTCTGAAATGTTGACATTGAGAGAAAACATAGGATATACATCAAAAGTTTACCTAGGCCTATTGCTGGCTTGACACAGTGTTGTAGTTGTGTCTATTACAAGTCCATCACAAGTCTGGTGAAGAGCAATGCACGAGTCTTTTCACAAATCCATTCAAAAGTACACCACAAATCCTTTCACAATTTCTGTCTAGTCACAAAAAACAGGTGATGAACACTAAATGCTTTTGTCAAACTTTATTTACATACCTCGTGACTTGAAGTAAACTGAAAGACTTGGTACGGAATTGTGATGACTCGTAATGGACTGGACTAGTAAAACACAGACCTAAGCTTCTCAGGATCCTGTCTAATGATATGGAGTACCGAAGTGAATACGTCACGCGCACAAAATGTGTGTGAAAGACATTAGCGCGTGATTCAGCCCGTGTACCAACACGCGCCCGTACTCCATTCGTTTGCACTACACTTTCTGGTTCTAAATGACGTCACACTTCAGTACTCCATGGCAGCAAAGATGAGGCTTTATCACACTGGATTTCATCAGAACAAAAATGTTTGAGAACTGAGATTCTCTGTCCCACCTTTTGATAGGCGTGATGAAGAACTGACCACTGGAAGGCCTGGGGAGTGTGACTCTCTCTCAACGTTGACCTGACCAATGACTGGACGAGAACATCGTGTGGATCGCTCTCAAGAATGGTGGATACCATTGGAAGAACGGATCCCGAAGCCTGTATGCAAAAATAGTGAATTTTGTGGTTGGAATTATAAAAAATCACTCTTGCCATCTTGCAAAAATGGAAGTTTTATCAAGATATTTTTACCCCGTGTTCCTTGGCAGCGAGAGCCACCTTCCTTAAGATGTCCTCATCTGCAAATGGCCTGACCGCATCATGTACAATGACCACCGGCTCTTCTTCAGAGGACACCTTCCCGTTCTCTCTCAGATGTGCACCTCCCAATCCCTTCAGAATGTGATCCTGCAGATGCCGCACGCCATTCTGGATCGAGCGATGCCGGCTTGTTCCGCCATTCACAAGGCCGACTTTGGTGAATTTGTAGCGCTGAATCAGCTCTGTCATGTGGCCTTCCCATTCTGGGGAAACGGCTACAAGTATTTTCTCGATCCAACTGAGTCTGGCAGTGAGCAAGAATAAGAGGAAACAGAAGATCACTATGCACTGCATAGAGCATGACATTGGGGCAGAAGCTTACAAAATTCTGACTAAAGCTAATTTCAATATAGCCTCAAACAATTGTTTTTTTTTCATATTTATAATTAGTTTATATACACTGCTTTTCATCATTTCGAAAAGGATGGGATGCATTCTTACATTGCTACAAGTTTGGCAGATGACAATCATGACAATGGTTGAAGATGTGCCAAGTGCACGGTCATGGTGTTTCACACCATATTGTAATTTCCCTCATAAATAAAAAATCCTGCCATATTTTAAAGTTCACTCTTGGCCTATTCAGCATGTTCAGTAGCCCCATAAATGTGGCCTATTTACTGGAATACCTCCGTAAACGTAGGCCACACATCCACATGTACAAAAACGTGTCACACTTTGCCAAATTTTGATTTTCACACTTAGGCTTAGTTTGTAGGTTTTTTTTGCTTTAGAAGCATACTCACCCTCTTTATAGGCTAATCAGAAAGTGCTGCCTTTTTCAGATGTCTATTTTTCGTGAAATTTCCAGATTCATTTGCCATGTTTGCACACGTTTGCATATCAAAATTTCAACATGAAATTTCACAAAAAATAGACATCTGAAAAAGGCAGCACTTTCTGATTAGCCTATAAAGAGGGTGAGTATGCTTCTAAAGCAAAAAAACCCTACAAACTAAGCCTAAATGTGAAAATCAAAATTTGGCAACTTCGACACGATTTTTGTACATGTGGACGTGTGGCCTATGTTTACGGAGGCAGTCCAGTAAATAGGCCACATTTATGGGGCTAAATCTATTCTTGCCACCATTTTCCATTTATCTCCTCTAATTTAGCTTTTTTATCAGCCATCATCAAATGCAGAAATCAAGACAAGGAAAGAATGTTGCAACCTGACACTGCTTTTTTTTCATATATCATCTCAAAAAAATGTTCTTGCCTCTCCATAGACTTTGAACACAACCGCTGAAGTGGTGTCACTGGTTGCAACATTCTTTCCAAAGACAAGATAAAAAGTGCAACTGTTAGTGTTATTAACATTCCTTTGAGAAGACTGTTCCAGTTCGAATCAGAAGCAGAAGATGAAGAGCAAGAAATGTTTACTAGCTCAATTTATCACGAAAGGGATTAAGTACATCACAATGACAAGTTAAAGAAAGTACACGCAAAACTTCAAAAGGGCAAAATGGCATTAGGCCTACCTTTGGAAACTTTCTAGAGTGTAAACTATAAGAGGTCGGCCTAATACATCACAATATTGTTTAGGGATGTCCAGACCTGTCCTCTGTCCACAACCACCAGCTGGAAGAATCGCAAAGGTCTTAGAATTCATCACTGTGTAAAATTGTCGTGAAAGTCAACTGCATGCGCTACTTGAAAAGCGCCCTCAAGAGGTAATTCTTTTCGGCGAGTTTTCACTGAAGTGCGCCCTCAGTCTTAGAAATAAAATACGGAGTACGGTGAGTTATAAAAGACACACAGTCAAGCTTACAATGGATTAATCATCAAACCCCCCATAATATAGGCATGCCATAGGTACTTGAGTATTTCAAATGTAGCAACGCATACTATGTTTAGAAAGCCCCTCCAGGCATTTTCATACAGTTAAATTTGTGAAGGTTCTGAAGGTTAACGCAATCACATTGACAAGGACGTCACTGTGCTGTCGTTCTCAGGAAACTACTTGCTGAAAGTCTATAACGCTTATCATTTTTTGAGGTGTTCTACAATCTTGCCATATGTATGAATACTGTAATTTATTGGTTTTATGGCCAATAAGAATGAATTTGACATAATTGATATCAGTTAAATACCGCCCTTGCGTCTACAACCACTGGCCTCACATTCCAAAATTGATTTGAACCTGCCATTTTCTAAGAATTTTCTCAGATTGTCTTGACTTTTCCTCCAATAATTGTATCTTGAAGTCGCCATGGTAATAATGACACATGTATGGGTATTTATTTTCAGTTTAGTTTCTCAGTTTTTCAAAGAAGATAGCCTCTTCAAAGCGGCTTAGCTGCTTCTTCATCATCTGCACTCGCTTTCACGTTTTTGTGCAGACTGCGATTCAATGGCCGTTGTGTACGCAGCCTCGAGCCATAACCTCGACCCCTGTTCCGTAGCGACCCCCCAAAGTGGCCAGTTTTCATTTGGACACAAACCCATTATCTTTTGAAATGATTTTCAACATTTTTTCTCCTTTTAACGTCGTTTTAGCTAGTCGAGTTCTCCTCTGGAATCCTGATGCCCCTCGTCGTAGAGATCATCCCAACATGACCCTGGAAACATCCATCGAGCTAGAAACTGGTCTGAGCGGTCCATCTCTTTCCAACACTATGCTCGACAGGGACAGATGGACACAACTCATGAAGTCATCACGAAAGTGAATGAACAAATGAATGAATGAAACGCCTTTCTTCAGATTTTGGATTTTCCATAAAGTTTCCTTAAACTTTTCACTTCCTTAGATTTTTCCTGAGGACATTAACATTTCCTTAAAATAATAACATTTTCTTAAGAGTGAAAGCACTGTCCACAACAGTCAACATGGTGAAATATTTCCAGTAGACGTATACACTGACACTAAACACAGCTGACGAACAGAAACGAGAAACTGCTAGATCTCCCCCTACTGACCAAGTCAGAGAGAGAGAGAAAGAGAGAGGGGCGTGTCTGAAGTGACCAATCCCACCGCCACCATACTGCTTGGGTATTCAGGGCTATCTTTGGTGAGATTACTCTTATACCACTGCACTGTCGAAGTACAGTTGACTTTGATGTCATTTTCTTCGTCTTGAATTTAAGTTGACCCGGGTTAGAATCCTGCCATGGCCAATATGTGGATTAGGTTCTTGAAAGTCCCTGCCGAATTTCGTGAGTTTTCCCTGAAAATATCATCTCACCAAGATTGTTTGCTTCCACCAATAACTGAAAATGTCTTCGTCATTCTCAACACTCTTGCCATTTCTTCGGGCTTCCGAATTAACAATGCTTGAAATTGTTGGGAGAAAAGTTTCAGTCAATCTGTTCTAATTGTAAAAGCAACGCCAATGAGAAAGTTGGATCACGGGAAAGCCAGATTAATTCGTTTATGACACTGACAACTATATTGTCGTAGTGACTGCAGTCACAGCAACAGAGAAGTCGCTAAGCAACGACCAACACTTATCACAAAACAGCCGTCGTATCTGGGTCGACCTGCCCATTCTTTTTTAGCTCTTCGATTCACAGTTTTGACGCTGACGTTCCCTGGACTGGCGCAGCCAATGGCAGAAGTTTATATTTTTGGGTTGAAAAAAAAAAAACCAACGATTCCCAACTCCCATCCAGCACAAAAATCGCATTGTTCTCTTTGTTGGCCCAAAAGCTGGGCTTTTTATTCTTTGAAGTATTGTCGCACAAGGCGAAAAAAAAATTAAGGTATTTCGGTAATTTTCCACCTTACTCGGTGACTTTGTGGCATTGAGATAATGGGACTTTGTGACGGTTAAATAGCGGCCTTTCTCCGCTTTCATCACACAACAAAAAGCGTAGGAAGATGGATAGCACCTAAATGACACCGCGGAAGTGACATGACGGATGACTATAATTCAGCTCTATACTTCATACTGAATACAGAGCAGTTACGCCACGAGGCAACCCATTCCTGTTTTGTTATCGAAAAGCCAGAGCCTCCATACCATAACTTTAAAAGATAAATGCTTTCCAAAAAATTGGAAGGGCCGCTTTTCTGTGAGATGAGAAACGATGGCGCCTTTTCTCCGACTGTTGTATGACAGCAAACCTTGAACCTTTCGTAACCGCAGGGAATCCACGTACCTGTTTTGAGATTTGCCGGTTTTCACCCGAGAGACTTGTACAGATGAAAGTATACTAGAAAGGGTGCATTCTTCCATAGAGGAATAACATATGTACGAAGTGGTTGCAAATCTATAATCGTAAATCTGTGACTTTGATTCTTTTGTGCGATATTCGGCATTCTAACTTTTGTTGCCAAAGCAGGAAATAAGGGTTGATCTCCAGGGAAACATTCCATAGCTAACAACAACAAAAGAAATCAACAAAAGTCATTTTCCCCCATTTTTTTCATGGATAGGTCTAGAAATCACGTTCAGCTCTGCATTCAAAATATTGAGACTGCGACACTGAACATTCGTGCATGAAAACAATTATTTTAGTGGTTTGTTTTCTTAATAAAAATGATATATTTACTCAAAATAAAAAAGGTCCCAAAACCAAGGAACGTTTTTTCTTTGTGCCCAATGTCGTCATTGAGCTATTTGCATTTTCATGCTCCCTACATCGTTGTTGTATATAGTAATGTAAAAAAATGCTAAAATCATCTTTTTCTTCTTAATCTTCATTTTTTCTGGCAATGAGCCAAGCAACTTGGCAATGGAATTATGCCACTGAGCTTCAGTGTATGAGAATCCTTAGAAGGCAAGGAAAGAGAAGGCACCCCCCCCCCGACGGGGTGCACCAAGCAGGATTCGAACCAATGCCACAAGAGATGAAGTACAAGGTAACAACCCGTTTTCAGGATGCAGTGCTGCATGCCGCTCTAGGAAAACAGCAAAGACCCTTTCCACGTCGTTTGTGAGTGACTGTGACATCAGCCGTTACATAATAATCCAATCAAGTAGAAGAAACTTGCAGTTAGAGCGTCTCTTTAAACTTAAACGTTCAAAGGGCCCGTATATGTACGTCAGCGTCACCACCCGAGTTGCGCAGTGGACGGTGATTTAGTCGACACTATTATCGTTACCGTTTTCGTCACAGTGAAATAAATCATCATTTCATTCACTCACTTTGCTTCCTTGTAATTCCAATAAAGGAGGGTAAGTATATCTGGACACTGGCTGAATTCGATTTTTAAAATTAGATATTGAATTACCAGTTTCTCTGAACCAAATTGTTAAATAACAAAAGAGATTTTGTGCACTTTCTTTCTTCTTTATCGTGGTGTAATTACCTTCTAATAATGCAGGCTCCAATATTCAACCTGTTTAATGATCGGGAACGCATGGCTGAATTAACAAAGTGACCCACCAAATAAGGAACCGAATACATAATTGGAAAAACGTATATGGAACCATCCAGGTGAACTGACTTTTAATAACCTCTGATTGGGACGTTCACTTTGTGTCAAACAGTTTTTTGAGGGGAAAAAAGTAAAGGAAAAATAATTGTGTGAACGTACTTTTTTAACCAGAGTGCAAATTGACACTCTTGTGTTTATTCATAGAAGGTGTCAAAGGGAACCGTTACCTAGGTAACGTGTATTGTAAGCGGTTGTGAATATGGACGTTGTATCATAACTTATTATAGGCGGGGCGTGGGGTCGAGGGAAGTATCTATCGATTTATCTCGGGAATTCACGATGGAATGGACTTACATTTTTCTGCAAAATTTCAAGCGTGAGACGTTTTCTGAGACATTTTCCGGCGAGGTGCCCACCCCTTACGACACCCAAAGTTTGATAACGTCTCTTGACACAGTTTCTTCTGTCACTTTTTTTCGCATTTGTTTGCTTTTCTTCACAGAAAAACCAGTGGTGTAAATGGGCCAGGGCAACAACTCCACAAACGGGCTTTATCGACCCAGCACACGGTATCAAAAATGAAAATGATCACATCTTCTCCAACCCCCCCCCCATGAATTTCGTGTATTACTACTCAATATCTACAAGTTCACTTAAAATAAACCAGGAGTTTCGTTTTCATTCATTTCGTTTGAATCCTTTAAACCTCTCGGCACTGGTTAAATTACTTCTCCATTGGTGTACTGGTGCATGCAACCACAACGCTCGTACAGAGAGTGGGAAAGAAGGGGAAAAAGTATTGAAAAAGGGGGAAAGAAAGAAAGAAAGAAAAGGTATTGACAAATCTGTTTGGTCAAGGTTCTGCCGACAATTCACTCGATTCTTACGCTAAATCGGGCTTTCTGAAACTCCCCTTTCTTCGGCTTAAAATACGCTTTGTGGTCGCATTGGTACAAGGTGGTTGCGCAAGTAGAAAGGCGCAAAGTTTATCATCATAGGCCGAGGGGTTGTACCACAAAAACATGAGAGCGCGGTGGATACAATGTACGGTGAATAGGCTGCGATGTCTTTCAAATCCAAAACGTGCTTTCCAATACATGAAACCAGTCGCACGGAATATGTTAACACATTGTGCTGTGTGCAACATGCTCTGTTCTGACTCTGTTCTCACGTTGGCGCTTTGGGCCTGTATGTTGGATAAAAAATATCACTCTAATGAGTTATGACAGAGTTACCTAAATTTGCCATTTGGCCATTTCGGAATGAAAGGCTGTTTTTGCTTTCACCGTGCCTGGACGAGGAGCGTATAGAATTAGGTGAGCCGCGGAATCGAGAAAGATCATGAAAAGGGTAA